GTCAGGCGTCCGAATTGACTCCATGGCAACGGGTTGGTTATTTCTTACGTAGATGGGTTGTAAATGTACAGTTGTAAGTAAATGTGCAGTTGTAAATGTACAGACTGTGTTAAGATGTGCAAAGAAACTACAGCTTCTTCATCTTCTAGATTACCTTCCTCATTCATTCCCCTTCCATGAGGTAGCAACAAAGAGGATGAGAAAATCGAATTTTCACTTGTCCATTAATAACGTCTCATATTCTGGGCGTGTTGCAAGGAGGGACCGGTCCTTGGAGAGGAACATTATGCTGGGGAGGGTGGAGGGACAGCGCAGGAGGGGAAGAACCTCTATGAGGTGGATTGATTCAGTGACTAGGGTAATGGGGGTGGGTGTGTAAGAGACAATAAGGTTGGCTCAGGACAGAGCAGTATTCAGAGCTATTGTACATAGGGTCACTATGAGTCGAAAGCAACATGACAGCACATAATAACAAACAATATCATCTCAATACCTTCAGGATTAAAGACCCTCATTTAGATCCAAGAGCCTCTTTCAGAAAAATGCACATGGTTTTTCTCATTCTGCCCCGTATGAAGATGGCATTATGTAGTATAAGGCACCCGGTACTGAATTCTTGTCACTGTCATATGGGAGAAAGGGGTCTCAGACTCACCAGAGACCTCAGCGTATTACAGTCCTCTGAGACCTCCCCAGAAGCTGACTCAGATCTTTGGGATGTGATTGTCCTTCCAGGCCACAGCGGTCACTCTTCACTGATAGCCCTGATCCCAGCCATTGACTTCCATTACTGATCCCAGTCATTGTCCTCCAGCACCTCACCCTTCAGGACCGTGGCAGTGCTGAGCTTGTAAATGTTTAACAATCTATTCTCAATTTCTGTGTGTGGTGGGAGGAGCCCTGACTTGTGCTTTTTTACCTGTTTCCATGGTGTAAGTACTCCCACAACGGTCAATTATGAGCTAACAACGTGATGCCAGTAAACACAGAGTTGGGAAGTTGTTAGGTGCTGTCGAGTGGAATATGACTCATAGCACCCTCATGAATAACGGATCTGAAGCCAGTCCCAGCCTGTGCGGTCCACATCATCTCTGACACACTTGAGCCCATTGCTGCAGTCACCTCATCAATCAGTCCATGTCACTAGGAGTTGTCCTCTCTTTTGCTGACTCTCCACCTCTCCAAGCATGTCCCTTTCCAAGGAAAAGCTGTCCTCCTAACAACACACCCAAAGTATGAGAGACAAAGCTTCACCATCTTTGTCTTTAGAGTGTTCTCAAAGGAGCATTGTGGCTGCACTTTTCCCAAGACATATCTGTTTGTTCTTTTCACAGTCTGTGGTATATTCTGGACTCTTCTCTAATGCCATAGCTCAAAGGCATCAATTCTTCTTCTGTCATCTTTAAGGTGTACACAATTCCTTCCCCTGAGCTGGTATAATCGGGTCCAGTATGCCATTGCTCCTGTAGAGAGAGAGACTAAGAGCCCCTGCTTGCCATAAAAGCACTGACTTAGACCCACCTGTTCCCTCCCCTCTCCCTCCGTGCCTGCCCCATGATTGCTTAACGTCCTTTTTCAGGGGGCTGCAATCAGTCCTGCCTGCCTGCCTCTTAGTAGAGTACTGGAGAGCCCATACGTCCAGGTAACCAGCCACTCCCACTCCTCCTGCATAAACAGTGGACCTGAAGAGTATAACGGTTAACTTTTACATCTCCTTCACATCATACAACAATACAACTTCTCTAACTCCTCCCCAATATTCACCTGGACCAAAATAGAAGTCTTTCCACCTCTTCTTCCTCTGAAGGGAGCTCTGGATGCCTAGTAAAGTGTTGTGCTGACAACACTAAAGCAGATGGTTCAAATACACCTGCAGGATGAAGAGGGGAGATCTTCCATGAGACTCACAGCTTGGGGAAACCCACTGGATCAACTAGGAGTCAGCTTTAACTCAACATCAATGAGTCTTCTTCTATTGCAAAGACCTAACTTAGGACACATTCTGCTTTTCTCAGTCCCTTATGGATGCTAGTTTTAATGGAAGAAGATGTTTCCCTAGTTTATGACAGTGTCTTTCGTATGTACCTGACAATACGGAAGTCATAGAAGACTTGGAACTGGAGGTACCAAGATCAAAGATTGGTTTGCAATAGAACGTAAACCCAAAGAGCTCCTTAGAGACAAGAAGGGCAGTACTTCATCTCCTTCATTCTATTTTGGACATATAGTCAAGAGGGACCAGTCATTGGAAAAAGACATTGTGCTGGGAAAGGTCGAGGGTCAGAGAAAGAGAGGAAGAACACTGACAAGATGAGTGGACACAATAACAATAACAACGGTCTATTTAGATCCGAGATCATGAGGAAGGTGCAGGGTAGGTCACTGTTCAGAGCTGTTCACCGGGTCTCTGTGAGTCATAGCTGAGTCAATGGCACCTACCAGCAACCCCTACCTCTGTTATAAGGATTTATTATGTGTGAGGCAAGGTGCTAAGTGTCTATGCACACCATTTCATTTAATCTTCACCAAAATCCAGATGGTCTGTGCCCCAGATTTACACATGAAGCCAGAGACTCAAAGACGTCAGTGACATACCTAAGGCCATCTGATTAGTAACTATCAGAGTTGGGCTTGGAACTCAGGTCTCCCTAACCTCCAAACCTATACTCTTTGTCTAGTGCTAAACTGTGGTGCCACAACATACCTCCTTATTCTGAAGCTAATTATGATTTTTAATGAGACAGGAAAGCAGTTGCCTAAGACAGGATGATGTCAGACATACATTTCTCCTTCTCTGTCAGGTCCAAGACCTAGAAAGAAAAATGCACCAGTAGAAGTTGTGTCTCACCCATCACTCACAGATACTTAATACCCTGTCTTACCTATAATAACTGGTAACAAAGGCAAAGAAATCAAAGGAACAGTGGTTCCTTCCACTCTGTCCCGTCGCAAGAACACTCTGCTCACTGATATTCTTGTTCTCCACAAAGGCATCATCAATCCTCTTGCCAGAAACCTAGAAGTGATCCCAGCACACAGCAGCTGAGGAGTCTCACAGTATTGACCCTTAGAATCTATTCCAGGTCCCAAACCTCTCTCCTCAACCACCACCTTCCTGGACTTTTGAAATAAGAGTCCTGTCCATTCTCCAGCATCAGTGTGTATCTCCTTATAATCCATTCATTCTCCACGAAGCAGCAAGAGCAATCTCACTCAACATCAATGATAGTATTGAATTCTACTACTAGAAATATGTCAATATCTTCCTGTTTCATTGAAATAAAATGTAAACTCTTTCTCAGGGTCTATAGTCTGTCTGGCCCCTACAACCTCTCTCTTCCCACCTCATGTCACCCTCCCCTAGTTCATCCCACCAGGTACCCTCATCCTTAGTGTACAGAGCACATGGAACTCTTTCTTTACTTCAGGTTTTTGTATTTTATCGCTTCTGCTGAAATGCTTTCCCACATGCTTCTTTGCTTAGCTGGCTCTTTCACAAATTTTTGGCTGCCTCCTCAGACATTCCCTGACAGCTTTATCTATAGAAGCTCCTCCTTATTTTTCTCTTCATCTCCCCACAATTTGTAACCATGCCATGCAGGTTTGGTGGGTTGGTTTGTGTGTGTGTGTCTCTCTCTCTCTTTATTTCTATCCCCCCCCCCCTTATTCCCTGTCTCCTCCTCTCGACTGTAAACTCCAGGACTGCAGGGCCCCTTATCCCACTGCCCATCAGCACAGCACACACCCAGCACCTGAAGGACGCGGTGGAAGTTGCTGGTCATCCTCAAGTCAGTTCCACCTTGTTACAACCCCATGTGTGCTGAGTGGAACTGCTCCATTGGCTTGTCAAGGCTGTGACCTTTTGGAAACAGATCGCCAGGCTTGTCTTCTGAGGCACCTCTGGATGGGTTCAAACAGCCAATCTTAGATAGGGGTTGAGCACTTAACTGTCTGTACCACCCAGGGACTCCTAATCCTGGTACCAAACTCCCTGTCTTCAAGCCAAGTCCAACTTCTAATGACCCTCCCCGGGGTTCCCAAGGTGGTAAATCTTTACGGAGGAGATCCGTCCGTCTCCGGAGCTGCTGGTGGACGTGAACACACACTGTGCCACCAGTGCCCCTTACATCTGGTAGATAGCGGGTGCTTAATAGTGATTTGATGACTCTTGAATGAATATGGTTACTAGAAAATTCTGATATCAATTTTTTCTGTTTGTAATGAGTAACTAATATTTTCTCAAGACAGTGCTAAAGAGAGGCACGATGATGCTAATTCTTGTACTCTTCATTTAACCCATGACAGGTAGGAGAGAGATAGGAGTAAAGAGAAGCAAGGAAGTGGCAGGGCTGTGCTATTAGGAAAACAGGTTGGCTAGCTAGTGGGAATAAACACCTTGCCCGTCATAAAGTAACAACAGTAGATCTCCGAAGTCCGAGTATCTCCATGTTAAGCTGTATGTGTATGTGTTACTGTTGTCAAGTCCCATCGAGTTAGAACCAACTTGCAGCTGACCTGCCAGCAGGTTCTCAGAGGCTGTGAATCACATGAGAGGAGATTGCCTACCTTTGTCCTGTGGAATTGTTGGTGGATTTGAACTACCAGCCTCTGGCTTGGCAGCTCAATTCCCTACCCACCAGGCCACCAGAGCTCCCTATGATAGATTAGTACACTTCAGAAATAGGTTACAAAGGGCAGCTTCCACCACTGTCTCTAAACTCCCCAGAGCAGAGATTGGACCTCACTGGTCTTGTGTTCATAGTACTAGCACAGGGGCATGTGGTGAAGTTGCAGTAGCATTGTTATAGCAGTTAACAAAAAGCAAGTGAAGATAATAGTCTCTATTCCCCGCTCCCCCACCCCAAGTATGCTGCTATTGCTCCTAATCCTTCCTTCTGACTCTTAGACAATTCTTCTCTCAACTTGCTATAATTTTATGTGGCAAATTGGCTGATCAGAGCCTGTCTTCCATGTTTCCCTTCTTCCTTCTCCAAACAAAGCTTCCCCAGAAGCTTCAACTCTGGAGGCAATGGGTCGAAAGGAAGATGACGACTGCAGTTCCTGGAAAAAGCAGACCACCAACATCAGGAAAACCTTCATCTTCATGGAAGTGCTGGGATCGTAAGTCCAAGGGCTGGGGAGACCTGAGCTGAGCTGGGCTACCTGCTGTGGGGAGTTGGAAAACAAATTTCTGGGCTAGCAGTAACTGGCGGACAGGGCCTGAGGCTCACTATTAGAATTTCAGTGGCTCAAAGGGAGCCTCTGGGAGTCCTTGGGTGGTCAGCCATAGATGCTAACAGAAAGGTTGGTGTTTTGAGTCAACCCAGAGCCTCTTAGAAGAGAGGCACGATGACCTATTTCCAGAAAATGAGCTCTCGGGAACCCTGCAGCTCACAGCTCTGCTGACACGCACGGGGTTTCCATGAGTCAGGTTTGACTCACAGCAACTGATAAGTTAAGAAAAGTTTTCTAGTTTGCAAGGTGGGCTAGGGGGAGGACACTTTGCGGGAGCACAGAGGACAAGTTGATACATGGAGGTCTCAGGGAGTCTCCTCCCCCAGTTTCTGCTTCTTTGTGACAGTGAGGCCCACCCTATCTTCTGAAGTTCTTCAGCACTTGAGGGCTTTCCCTTGGTCTTCCCACCCTGCTCCTTGCTTTCTCTCCTGCTAGAGAACTGGTCACTTCTGTAGATGGAAGAGAAGCAGCTCGAGGCCTGAAGAGCTAATAGGTTACACAGCCCTGGAATCAGCAGCCCGCAACCACCCTCTTCTCCCTACTTAAGTACTTTGGCTGTGTTGGAAAATAAAGTCACTCCATAGTCCAAACTTCTACCAGCCTGTGAGGTGCCTGAGCCTGCCCCTTGACAATGATTACACATCTTGTAGACCAGAGACAGCTCGTCTGGAGTCGAGGCCCCACTTATTTCTGCCTCTCCTCCAGGGGAGCGTGCAGTCTGTGACGCAGGCGGACAGTCGCTCCAGGCCGCTGGCCTCCTTGCCTCCTCAGAACCCCAGCTGGTTAGCTAATTAGTGGGAGCTAATTGGGCATGGGCAGTGAGAAGCAGTTAGCTGGCTGTCCATTTAGGCAAGCTTTCTCTTTAGCCAATTCTGGCTAAATTTAGCTCCACTCTGCCCTGCCTAGGAGGCAATGACCTCAGGCAATGATGACTGGCCGCATGCTCACTTCAGACACAGAGGAGCCAGGGATGGCCCTGAGAAGAGACCTTCGGGCCACCTCTCTCCACCATCGGCAAGCAGGGCTCTGCATCACGCTGGTCATCTGCGTTGGGCTTCTGCCAAGATGGGGGTGGCTAGAAAGGCAGTTTTTGGCAGGATACATGAGCAAGGCTTATGAGTGAATCAGAGATGATTTGCTAAGCATCTCAGAAGCCAAGAGAAAAAGGAAGAAGGAAGCCCAGGTGGTGAAGAGCTCAGGGACCATCTGCTCAGACTTGTGTTGTAGGGATGGCAACAGCATGGTCGAAAGTCATACACACCTGTCCCTGTGGAACTCCTTGAAGTCTGCCTCAATAGGTCCTAACCCTAGAGGAAGACCAGAGTCATCCTTATCACGCCAATGCCTGCCCCCACGCTCCCCAGTTTTTAAAACTATTTGCTAAAGAAGGTTTTTGTTGGTAGTTGCTGTTCAGTTGATTTGGACTCATAGCCTCCCCATCTGCCACAGTAGAACTGCTCCATAGGATTTTCTCAGCTGTGATCTTCTGGAAACACATCACTAGTCCTTTCTCGTAACTATAGAGCCACTGGGTGGGTTTGAACTACCGACCTTGTAGCTAGCAACCAAAGCCAACACTAGCTCTTGATAACCATTAATCCTATAGTCTAAATGAATGTCCCTGTTTGAAATATTTCCTAAGGAGCCCCGGTGCCCCAATGGTTACGTGCCCAATTGTTAATTGATTAGCTGGTGGTTTGAAGCCACCTGCTGCATAATGGGAGAAAAACATGGCCGTTTGCTTCTGTAACAATTAGAGCGCTGGAAACTACTCAATCAGAAACAGTTCTAGTTGGTCTTCACTGTTCATTATGAGTTAGGGTGATGGCAATGGGCACTTTTTATGATGCATATAATTGAGTCATATAATGTTCTTGTGTTTGTATTTGGCTTATTTCTCATTTGCGTCCTCCCAGGGACACCTTGACAGAAAGGCCTGGCAGTCTACTTTTTAAAAAAATCAACCACGTAAAACCTAACGGATCAGGGTTCTACTCTGACACACACGAGTGGCCATGGGTCAGAGTCACCAGACAGCAACAGTTGTGGTTTGATTTTGCCTTTATTTTACTCAGCAAAATATGTGTGTGGGTTTTTTTTTTTTTATTCATTCGTGGCATCACATTTGTCAGAAATCCTTCTCTTACTAAGGCTGAATCATAGTTCACTGCATATACATGCCACGTTGTGTCGATCTATTCGTCCATTAGGCAGCTCAGTTCATAGAGAGCGGTACTGCTAAGTCAAAGGTGACTCCTCTCTCATAGCTCAGGTCTACCAGGGGATCCGAGGGGAAAGATAGGCAGTCTCCTCAGAAGCTCACTGGAGAGTTAGCTAGGCAGTGAGTTTCAGGTTTTATAGATTGTTGACACCTCCCCTCCCCATTTATCTGTTGATGGAAAAACATGCGGATTGCTTCCACCTTTGACACACTGCTATTAACATTGGGATATAAGAATCTGCTCAAGTCACTGTTTTCAATTCTTTGGATATAAATTGTGGAGTGGAATTGCTAGGTCATACAGTAATTCTATATTTAACTTCTTGAGGCAGTACAAATTGTTTTTTCACCAGGATTTGTTCCTCCAACTTTTAATTCTGAAAAAGCCTTTAAGTATAAATAGTGACATAATAGTATAATTAACAGGAATATGCCTACCATCCGAGTTCAACAGTGTTCTTATTTTACACATTCACTCACACATATGCTTTTTTCTCATTTACTTGAAAGTTGCAAACAACATGACTCTGTTGCCTGTGAATCTTCTGCCTGCATCTTCTAATAAGAAAGATATTTTCTTACACATCCACAAAATCATTGTCACACTCCAGCAGATTACAGGAATTCCCTAAACTCTGGTGGCTTAGATGTAAGGAGTTGTCCTGCCAGCCCAAAGGCACAAAGTTCAAATCAATCAGATATTCTGTTGGAGAAAGATGGTCAGTCCCCTCATGTGCAGTCCAGGTCCTCTGAAAACCTGCCGGAGAGTCAGCTGAAAGTCAGTTTCAATTTAACAGTACCTGACTACCACACTATCCTCTTTGCTAGGTAATTCTTTTAAAAATACGGATTCCTGTTCAAAACTACTACACTAGGGTTTTTACTTTTTTAGAGATAAAAGGACAGTGGCTGGGAATTTGAGGGAGCCCAGATGAGGCAATGGTTAAAGTGCTCACTGCTAATTCACAAGTCATCAGTTTGGACCCCTGGTCACTGTGAGGGGGGAGGTAAGGCAGCCTGATTCTCCATTGGGCACTTCTACTCTGTCCTATGAGGCCGTTTATGAGCCTCAAATTCAATGACAGTGTGTTTAGGTTTTTTACGTTTTGAGTGTTCTTTTTTTTTATTTGTTTTTCTTTTGTTTTATTGGACCAGAAAGAAATATATTTTAAGTGTGAGTCTGCAGTGATCATACTGTAGCCAATCTAGCACTGGTTTGGGGGAGTGGGAGGACCCACAGGGGACAAGTCAGAGCTGTTGCAGTGGTTGGCACTGAGCAGAAGCGAAGGAGAAAGCGTCTTTATGGAGTTCAAGGGTAAGACCCCATGGTGAAGTGGGGTACAGAAGGGAGTAGCGGGAAGTGAGCAGAGTCCTCTGACCAACAGGTTCCAGAATCCCAGAACAAAGGCCTCTCTTGGTTCTCAATTCCTCTGAACAACTCACCAAGGGTAGTGACTTTCTGTTAAATCTGCCCAGACATCATCCATAGTCCTAGGACAATTTGCTTCTGAAAGCCAGCCATGTAAACTCCATGGATCACACGTCTACTCTGGCACATCGATGGTCACCACAGGCTTGAGCTGTCCCAATAGTGACTGCCTGGTTTTGCAAGTATAGAGTACCTGCAGTATTAACTGGAAAAATCTAGTCTGTGCTGGGGAGCATCCAATTCCCAATCCTCCTCTTTTTAGAAGAGAATTTTGTCCTTGGTGATCTCCACCTCAACCCTTTGTTCAGGTCCCAACCAAGAGAAGAGATATGTTTACGAGTAAGCCTTGACTCTGCATGAGTTCTTGGTTTTGACCCACACACCCTTGGTGACCGAAGACTCTCTTTTCCCAACTCTAGCATGAGGACATAATTAAGTCTTCTGAAGCAATACTGGGCATCTGGTGGCTTGTTGTCACTAGGTGTTTTCAACTCATGGAGATCCTATGAACAGCAGATCTTGGTGCTGTGTCCGGTGCCATCCTCACCATCTGATACACGAGATGTAATCACTGTGCCAATCCATTTTGTTTGGGGGTCTTCCTCTCTTACACTGACTCTCCACCATTCCAAGTATGATATCGCGAGTAGTGAGGGATTGTGCTGCCAACAAAAAAGTATGCAGTTCAAATCCACAAACTGCTCCTTTGGAGAAAGATAGGCACTTTCCTCCCGTCCAATTTACTGCCTCTGAAATCCCAACGGAGGGTCAGCTATGGGTCAGTTCTGACTCAACGGTACGTAAAAACAGCAAAGCAGCCTGAGGTCAATGAACCAGTAACATTTTATATTGTCACAGCATTTTACACCTATAGGAGGCGCTATTTACATACACAGAAGACAAAACGGGTCATCTAAATGATGTCCTCCGAGTTGTATGAATAGAAAATCTATCTAGCCCATAATGAGGGTTCAGAGTATGAATCTTAGAGCCATCCATGGGTGGCACCCCAGTTACAGATGGGGGTATCCAGAAAGTCATGTAGCTCCATCCCCTCATTCCGAACATAGGAAAGGGTGACCTGGAGATGAACAGAGCACATAAATAATCCCAATCCAAACTGCTCACCTATTTATCCATCCACTCAAACAACCATGTATTTATTTTAAACAAACAAACAAACCTGTTTTGAAAATTTCCATTTGCAGCCAAGCATATGATCTGGTACCCACCCCTACCTGGCACCCATTACTCCTGGTCTCATTCTCCACCCTCTTGTTGTTCTGTCTTCCATGATTTTTCCTCCTGATTCCTCCTAACCCCACCTGAAATATTATTTCTAACTATTCTCCTAGGCTGATTCTGTCATGCATTATTGCTGAGCTTAGGCACTCTTGAATCAACGGGCTATATATCATGTGCCACTCAGGCAGTCCGAGTGGCCATTCCTACTACAAATTAGGGGAAAGCGTCCCTTTCTTTAGGTTTATTATTGTCTTCCAGAGAAGTTTTCATAATCATACTATGAACGTGGCTCCGAGGTGAGTGGTGTCTCCTGGAGCCATGCAGGATACAACCTTCCCAGTCACAACAGAGGGCTGATGTTAAATGTCTACCTTCTGTGGATGTAACAGCCAGCACTCATCTGCATATATCCATCACTCACACTAGATTCTAGACCAGTACTGATCACAGGCCCATTACTAAGGTTTCCTCAGTGCAGCAACAGATCATTGGATGCCTAATTGCATTTCTCAAATCAAGTCCTAATTGCTTATTTGTGTTCTCCACTGGACTATTGGCTCCTTAAGAGCAGAAACACTCACCTCTTATCTCAGTGTCTAGAGCTGCCCTGGTTTCCAATAAATCCTGACTGAAGGAATGAGAGAATGAACGGATGAATGGAATAAGCTCTAAAGGCTCTGATTAACTCCGTTCCAATGACAGCTGGGGGAAACAGGAAACTCAGTCACAGGAAACACCAAGTCTTTTCTAATCAAGGTTTTTAAAGTCCTAAAAATGCTTGACTGCTATCGGGCCTTCATTCTAGAATATCCAGATGGTGGAGAAGAGGATCGTTCAGCTGTTTCCTCATTTACACTCTGCCTCTGCTTATTTATAAAAAAATATAAAAGTTGCCTTTAAGACTATTCCAACTCATGACAATCTCATGTGTGTTAGAGTACGACTATGCTCCATTGAGTTTTCAGTGGCTGGATTTTCTGTAGATTGCCAGGTATTTCTTCCGAGTTACCTCTAGATATCCTCAATCTCCAGTCTTTAAGTTAGTAGCCCAGCACGCTAACCATTTGCACAACCCATAGACTATTCTTTTCCCTGATGATACTAAAGTAATACTAGTACATGGCACCACAATGGTGGTGGAGACTAAGCACCAGCCTCTCCTCCCTTCATTTCCCCACTTGCTTGCCTCCAACAATGTTCATTAACTAAGTTTTGTGTCTTGGTGTCTCCTCAGAGGAGCGTTCTCTGAAGTTTTCCTAGTGAAGCAAAGGGTGACCGGAAAGCTCTTTGCGCTGAAGTGCATTAAGAAGTCACCTGCCTTCCGGGACAGCAGCCTGGAGAACGAGATCGCAGTGCTGAAAAAGTGAGTGGTGTTGAGGGTGGTTGGATCAGGTGCAGCTTTGGGATCACATCTCCCTCATGAATTCCCTTCGAGAAGAACTGGAGCTGGATTTTCACATCCAAAGGCCAGGCTGCTTTTAATGGATAGTTTAAATGGATAGTTTTAATGGATAGTCAAGCAGCTAATGTTAATGAGGCATGTGTCTTGACTATTTTCATTATTGTTACTTTAAGCAAATCAACTCAAGTAGTGAATGATGGCTGAGGTGATTTGTGTGTATAGGCCAGAGAAAAATTAGCTCAAAGGAACAAAAATCAATAGAAGACCAACACAAGCAAGAATTTAAAAAAAAAAAATCAAGAAAGCGGTACTGAATTTGGAAATTAGGCTCAATTTATGCCAAAGTAAATGTGGATTCCATACTAATAAATGATCAGGTATTCACAGTGGGGTTCATACGACAGCAATTGGGGATCTACACCAAAACCAGGTGAATCTCAGGACCCTCAGAAGGGTGCTGGACAAAATCCCTCATTCTCAGGAACTCACATTTCCCAGGCCAAGAAAGAGGTCGTTGTGGCTTTTTCTTGCTGTTAATTTACTTCTAACTCATATCAATCTGTGATAGACTAGAACTGTATCCATAGAGTTTCTTGACTGTAATCTTTAAGGGGAAAGAGCTCTGAAGGTATTGTCCATAGAGAACAGTAGAGCAAGTCCTAAGGGTACACCTCTGTGTTGGTTTGGATTGACCAGTGGCTCTGAATGAGAAAGCTTGGTAATCTTCTCCCACAGAAACCCAATGGAGGGTCTTGGATAAGCCAACTCCCATCAGTGGTAATGTTGTTGTTGTTGTTGAATGCTATTGAATGACCCAATGAACAAAAAATCTGAGCCCTGCTCTCTCCTGCACCATCCTCACTCTTCCTGACACACAAAAGCCCACTGAGGCAGTCACTGTGTCAATCCACCTGGTTGACGATCTTCCTGTCCTTCACTGACCCTCCACCCTTCCCAGCATCATGTCTCTCTCCAAGGAATAGCACCTCCTAGCAACCTGCCCAAAGTATGTGAGGCGAAGCCTCGTCATTCTTGCCTCCACAGAGCACTCTGGCTGCTCAATGGCAGTAAGAGAGAGAGAGAGAATCTTTAAGGGAGCAGATAACCAGAGCTTTCTCCTTCCAGAGTTTCTGAGTGGATTCATATCCCCAAACTCTCAGTTAGCAGATGAGTGTTCAACCATTGTGTCTACAGGGCTCCTTGGAGACAGGGAGGTCTCTAAATTAATAGACTCTCATCCTACTGAATATGAAACCCACCAATGGAAGGCAGATTTTGGAGGAAACGTGGATTCATTTTACCTACGTACATAGTTTTATCAAGATGAGTTATTAGGGACATTTTCAAATAAAAGAAATCTGAAAGATGAGTACATTTTTGAGGGAAACAAAAGGGCAGTGCACAAGAGGAAGAGCAAGAGGCTCCCAAAGGAGCATGAATTTTCACGCAGAATCGTGAAAGGACTACTAGGAAAAAGCAGATAAGGCCCCGAACTTTGACTGGGTAATATGAAGGTATAGGGGATGAAACCAAAGCAAAGAAGACAAATCTGACGATAAAGCATCTTGGGTCCGATGACAATAAGTGTTTCCTGTCTTCATGTAGGCAGAGAAGACTCCAAAGGAGTTTAAGGGGAAAGTACATGAATTTTAGAGCCATTTCTTCGAAGCATGGTGGAGGATGGATCACAGGCTCAGGAATGGAGACTTTACAAGATTTTCACAGTGATCTCAAGAAGGGATGAGGATATAAGCAAAGGAAGTGCCACGAGAGCTCTGGTGGCCTAGTGGGAAGGAGTTACAGTGCCAGGTCAAAGGCAGGCAGTTCAAATCCACCAACAACTCTGTGAGAGAAAAGATCAGAAATCTTCTCCTCCATAATTTATTGCATCTGAAAACCCATGGGAGGGTCAGCTCTGAGTCAGTCCTAACTTTATGACACATAACAACAGTAGCAGAATTAGTTGATAGCAAGAAGACCTAGAAGCTGTTGTTTGAACAGAACAAGGGAATACTCCATGGTTTAACAGAAAGAAAGTCATGCATCAGGGCTGTACCCTCTTTCAGTCCCTTTTAAATCTGTATGCTGAACAAATGATTTGAGAAGGTGGCCTTTATGAAAAAGGATATGGTATCAGGATCCAAGGAAGAATCATCCAGAACCTGAGTTATGCAGATGACACAATCTTGGTTGCTGAAAGTGAGGAGAACTTGAAGCATTTTGTTGTGAAAGATCAAAGGCTACAGCTTGCAATATGGACTACACCTCAACATCAAGAACAAAGATCCTCACCACTGGACCAATAGCAATATTATGATAGATGGAGAAAAGACTGACATTGTCAATGATTTCCTCTTGCTTGTATCCACAATCCATACTATCAGTATGAGCAGTCAAGAAATTAAAAAAAAATTTATTGCACTGTGAAAATCTGCTTTCAGAGACCTCTCCAAAGTATTGAAGAGAAATGATGTCATCTTAAAAAATAAGGTGTGCCTGCTTCAATCCATGGTCTTTTCATTTGGCTACTATACATCTGAGAGCTAGACAAGGAATAAGGATGACAGAAGGCGGATCAGTGCCTTTGAATTGTGGTGTTGGGGAGGATTGCTGAGTATCCCATAGACTGCCAGAAGAACAAACACATGCGTCTTGGAGAAAGTGCATAAGTGCTCCTTTGAGTGCTTCTTAGAGGCAAAGATGGTGAAGCTTTGTCTCACATACCTTGGGCATGTTGTGTTAGGACAGGCTATTCTTTCTAAGGGGCACATCATGATTGGAAAGGTGGGTAGTCAGGGAAGGAGAGGAAGACCCTCAACAAGATGGACTGTAACAGTGGCTGCTAAAATGGGATGAAGTATATCAGAGGTAATATGGATGGCAGACGATAAGATACGGTTTAGATCTTTGTTCATAGGGTTACTATAGTCATACTTGATTTGATAACACTTAACAGCAACAAGAAGACTGGATTCATATCTTTGAGAGGAAGGAATGATTGTGTTTGTGTTTACTGGTAAAGAGAACAGAAAAGCACTAAAAATGACCCTGAGTGGTGATTACATACCATGATGAATGTAATTGACGTTACTAAATTGCATACCTGAAAAACGTTGAGTTGACAAGTGTTATGTCATGTCTGTATGTATTTTACAACAAGGAAAGTTTAAAAAATTAAACTGGCTCTGAGGTAGTGTGAATAACTAAGAGCATAGCTTGACAGAGAATAGAAAAAGATGCATGGCTTTGGAAGAAGCGGAAATAAATTGCTTTGAGCATACTGCATATAGATATCCACCCATCACCACATGGGGGGGTCTGGTATTACACTGGAGATACAGGACTGGAACTGGCATCCATGGAGATTATGGGGGGAAAGAGATTGCAAACTCACTGAGAGCAATGAGATCTTTCTTACCACTTCACTGTCAGTTCCTAACATGGTAGATGTTCAAGGATAGATGTTCAGTAAGTGAGTGAATCAGTACATTAAGATAGTATTGTTAGCTAGACGTTGTTTAATTAATCAGGTCTGGTGGCCTAGGGGTAAGAAACTGCACTGCAATCCTGAAGGCATGAGGTTCAAATCCACCAGCTGCACTGAGAGAGAAGAATGGGCCAGCTCCAATGTGATTAACTACCTCAGAAAACCCACAGGAGGGTCAGCTAAGGGTTGGTTCCTGCTCTATGGTACTCAACAACAATTACTCTTATAAGTCTGTAGTTTTAGAAATACCTTAAAGATGGCAATAACCACTATGAAGTAGATGTTTACTATTTCTGTTGGAGGGTCAGCTATGGGTTGGTTCCAACTCAACGGTACACAACAACAAACAGCAACATTCCCTAGGTACTCCACATGCATTTTATATGTGTTCTCTCTTTAATCTCAGGATAACTTTATGAGAACAGTATACTGCACAGACAAGGAAATTGGAGACAGGGAAGCTTAGAAGATTTAAGTAAGCCAGCCCAAGTTACCCAATGAGGAAATGCCTGGGCCAGCTCTGAACCCAGGCGCACCTGACTCAGAGTCTCAATTCTCAGGCCTTGTTCTCATATCCATGAGTAATCACAATGCCTAGAGATTTTCCTCCTGGACAAACCTTGATAAAATAGTTGTCAGCATAGCCATGCCGCAGCTGATGTGATGATCCTGCAGCCTCAGTCTCTAAGTAATCACAGACAGATAATCTAGGCAGGCTTCCTGGATTGCTGCAATATTGGGATTTTAGAATACTCCTGGTGTTACAGTGCATAATATGTTATTTTGCTAATCAGGAGACTGGAGTTTCAAATCCACCAGCTTCTCCAGGAGAGAAAAATGGGCAGTCTTCCTGTAAAGATTTACAATCTTGGAAACAAGATAGGAGGTTTGCCATGAGTTCAACAGAGATCCACATGACCTCTGTGAGTTTGAACACTCATGACAAGCAAATGTTTCCAGACATTGCCAGATGTCCTCTGGGGATGGAGGTACAAGATAGATCCAGATTGACTGATCTATGACATCCTGCAGAATACATTCCAAAACCTTGCTTTTCACATTCTCCCGGAAGATTACACAGCACTTCCTCCATGAGTAGCCACCAAGAGGATTGCTATTGTCATTAAGTCACCTCTGGCCCACATGACCATGCCTATAGCAGAACAAAATGTTTCCAAGTCCTCACCATTTTTGTATTTGAGTCGACAAGTGATTGTATTAAGTATTGTGTCCATCCATCTTGTGGAGGGCTGTTGCTGTCTGTTCGCCGACAATCAACAATAAGCACGAGGGAGACACACCACTCCAGGAGAGGATCAGAGAGTCAATCCAGCTCAATTTTATTGGGGACTGCAGTGCATTTATATACAAACATGTAAACAGGAAAACCGCATAGACTTACAGACGCGGGACATATGGGTTGGTTAGGAGAAACTCAGACTCGTGCAGACTACTTCCAGCTCAACGGATGCAGCAGCCAACTTCCCAGGTGGCAAGCTTTCTCAAGCTGGTACAGCCAAACACAGGAGAGCTTTCTCTATCCCATATTAAAGGCCGTTGAGAGGCTTGCACTTATCCAGAGCTTAGGTAATCTGTCCTGGTCAGAGGCCCTCCCTTCCTCCCCAGCATTCCCCAACAGAGGGCTTCTTTCATTTTCTCTGAACCTCTGTTTTACCAAGTATGATGCCCTTTTCTACTCATTGACCATTCTGATGATAGATTCAGAGTAAGCAAACCTGAGCCTCACCATCTTTGCTTCAGAGAAGAGTTATGGCTATCATTCTTCTAAGACTGGCTTGTTCATTGTTTCAGCAGACCGTGGTGTAGTCAACAGTCTTAGCTAACCCAAATACCTCTTGTTAGGCCTCAGTCTCTTCATGTGCTGTTTCTGAAGGAGATCTTAGAACCCCATTAAGATAGTGTAGTGTTAGGGGCTCTGGTGGCCTAGTAGCAAGAAGCTGCATTGCAGTCCTGAAGGCACATGGTTTGAGACCACCAGCTACTCCACAGGAGAAGGATGGGCAATCTCCTCCCATGTGATTAACTGCCTCTGAAAACCCACTGGAGGGTCAGATATAGATCGGTTCCCACTCTACACTTCACAACAACAAATGTTGGGTGCTTCTTTCATATTCCTCTGAGTTTTTTACTAACTTTCTCTCTGGCATCCACTTCCTAAATTACATGCCTCCAGAAACTCTATGAATTTTGATAAATGTCGACAGTTGTAGAGGGGCTTCAAGTCTTTTGTTCATAGGGTCACTATGAGTCGTGCTTGACTCAAAGGCAATCAACAACACAAAAACTCTTACTAAAGTATCAATAAATGTTCCTGAAGTAACAGTAAAATATTTGTTCCCTAAAGGCAGGATGATCAACAATTATTCAATACATAAGCGTTGAACTGAGAGTTTTTCCTATGGAATATTTTTATGACAGCTTCTTCTTAAGCAGATCTGAAAAGAACTTAATTTTCCTTAACATTGTCTTTAAAAATCTCTATCAGATATTAAATACAGTTGGGTGGGCAATCATTTGTTTGGAAAATGTGAGTTATACTCTCACCATGACACTTTCCCCCCAGGATCAAACATGAAAATATCGTGACCCTGGAGGACATCTACGAGAGCACCACACACTACTACCTGGTCATGCAGCTGTAAGTGACAGGTGACCTCCGCAGACATCCTGGGTGGGGGTTGAGGGGTCTGGAGAGACTTGTGCAGTTTGGTGGGTGATAAGGGAAAGATGATGACGGGAAGGTGAAATCAAGTGTTAGTTAGTTCAAGGGGCTCTAGGATGTTAAGAACGGAGCTCTGTAGGGTCGGTGTGCCTCTGGTCACAAGCGTATTCTACAGCCTGAGGAGTTAAACCATGGCTGATGATTGGCTTGTTATATACCAGTATAGCCTCTGTGCTTGTTAAAATACTTCCTACCCATCTCTAAAAAGCTGTGTTCCCAACTCACCCAATACTTCTCTGCTGCTCCAGCCCCTTCCCTGGGACCTTCTGAACAATTTAGAAACTTCAAGAAAGGGCTGGAACAGCAGGGGAACTGCAGAACCCTTCCTTGTAACCATGTTTCCCCATCAAAGTGGATACCAAATGCTTTAACACGACTCCAGGGTAAAATTACTGTAGGAGTAGAAGCCATAGATGGATGAATTGCAATTCAATATCAAGGAAGACTTTCTCAGCCCCGTTAGAAGCAGGCTGTGAGTGTATTTGTCTAATCATGGGACAGACAAGGTACCTCATTATCAAGATCTTTGTGTCACTGTCCTACCCAAATGTAAGTTTAAAAGAGGATAGCACGAGTAGGGGTGAGTGGAGGCCCCTGAGGGCCCAATCTTTGGTTTAGACACTTCAGATTTTAAAGTACATGCACAGAAGCACTCACTCGCTCACACATTCAAAACACGCTCATGTACATGCCGAGTCTCTCCACCCCCTTCTCCAACACACACACACACACACACACACACACACACACGACTCCACAATCTCTGGTTGGCCAGATACAATGGACTTTTTGACTAAAAGGTTATTCCTTCAGATCCCACAAACGCCCTGGGTCTTTGAGGAGCTAGCTACGCTTGAGCAGGCCATTATCTCTGGGCTCAGTTGAGGCCCAGAAGAGACAAGCAGCAGGCAGCCAAGAGAGCAGAGAGAACAGGTGGGGAAAGAAGGCTCAGAGCAGCACCAATACGCACTCCATCCTGACGAGGCAGATACAAAAGAACTAGCACACACTCTGTCAGGTCGGACAGCAAAGGGTAGGAAGGAGGTGGGCAGGTTTCGAAGTCACAGCGAAGCTAGCAAGTCTCTAACAGTGTCAGCTTCTGGACTGGGGCTGCCCACAGGCAGAAAGCCAGAGTTGCGGGCCACCAGCTCCTACAGCAGAGCTCGGACCTTGATGGCAGAAACCAAAGGAGTGTGGTAGGGTGGGTGCATTTTAAGGGCAGAAATAATATTCCCTCATATTGATGACATAATGGCATGAAGCAGCAGCAAAGGGCTAGGATGGTGAGGTGATTAGGAAGCTGGTTGAAGTAATTCAGAATGTTTATCCTGGAGAATCGAAGGCCTCAAGAGAATGCGGCTTGGTCTTCTAATACATATTTACTTAATACTTAGTACTAAAGATCTGTGTATACAAAATGGTATTTTTGCCCTATATACCTGCAATTGTATTTGCAGTTAGAAGCCACAGGGAGTCCTATTTTAATGACATAATAGAGACAAAGTTTAAGAAACTGTCAAATAAACAAATGGTCTGCCTTAGGAGGCAGTGACTAGTCTAACATGGGCTTCTGGTTGTGTAGATGGTACCCAACAGAACTGATGGGGGTTGGAGTGGACCTTTAAGCTGCTCTGAGTCCTAAGATATGCCGTTCCCAAAACATGCCTACAGTTTCCCCAACCATAATTCCAACTTTTAGAATCACAATTTCCAACAATGAAGAAAGAAATTCAAACCGAAGCAAAGTTAGTCTGATTTACCCATTTTTTTCACTGTCATCATTTTCCCCAATTTCAGTCTCCCTCCTCCTTTTCATCACGGAGTTCAGGAAGAAAACCAGGGAAGGCTATTCTCCCTCAAGAATTGAGGCCTCCTTTTCTCCCAAACCAGAGCATTTGCATTTTAAAGCCACAACTTCGGAGCAGATGACTCCCTCATGGGACAATTCCAGGCACAGGGAGGAGTAGCCCTGCCTGGACCCCACGAAGCACTCTCCATGGACACCTATCCCTTTGCTGTGGAGGAACTCTTCTAGTTCTTTGGACCCGGAATAAGAAGTGGATTTCTGCTTGCTCTTGTGCTCACAGTGTTTCTGGAGGGGAGCTCTTTGACCGGATCTTGGAACGTGGTGTCTACACAGAGAAGGATGCCAGCCTGGTGATTCAGCAGGTCTTGTCAGCAGTGAAGTACCTCCATGAGAATGGCATTGTGCACCGAGACTTAAAGGTACCCAGGAGGGACGACTCTGATAACAGCTCTTCAGGGAGTCATGTGGTCAGGGAAGCGTGAGCTCTGCAAAAATGAGATGAGTGGACTAGTTGATCCCCAGGAGAACATTCCACTCAGATTCCATAATCAAATTTTAAATAGTTTAACAATCATTACCATGGTTTCATGTATAAAGTGCATGTCTGTAACGTATGCATGCAGTACATAAAGGGAAACTAATGTTGGAAGGGGTTGTACATTTGTGAAGCCCATATAACATGCATATTATTTGTATTAAAAGACTATCTTCAGCCTTTTCCTAAGTGATTAACTATGTGCTGGATAGCATTATTGTTGTTGTTGTTGTTGTTAGGTGCTGTCAAGTTGAGAACGACTCATAGCGACCTCAAGAGCAAAAGATATGAACCCTGTTCTATCCTGTGCCATCCTTACACTTCCTGACACACAAGAGCCCTTTGCAGCAGTCACCGTGTCAATCCACCTAGTTGAGGGTCTTCCTCTCCTTCATCGATCCCCCACCCTTCCCAGCATCATGTCCTTCTCCAAGAAATACCCCCTCCTAGCAACATGTCCATAATTTATGAGGCAAAGCTTCATCATTCTTGCCTGCCTCTAAAGAGCACTCCGGCTGCACTCTCTCCAAGATATATCTGTTTATTCTCTTGGCCATCCATGGGATGTTCAGTGCTCTTCTCCAACACCACAGCTCAAAGGTGTCAGTTCTTTTCCTGACATTCTTATTCATTGTCCAGCTCTCAGAAGCATAGTTAGTAATCGGAAAGACCATGGCCTGAATCAGATGCACCTTAGTCTTCAAACTGACATTATTACTCCTCAATAAATTGGATTGATTTTTGCTATATGTTTAGAAGGGGGGGGGAAATCCACACATTTCTTTGACACAGCCACAGTTTCAATCAAGTATTGATTAATCCTTACTGAGGTTGTATATTTTAGCAGGCATTGTATCAAATTCAGGAGTGATTTGAGATAGTTGACCAAATGTTGTTGTTATCGTTATTGTGTGTTCTATAGTAATAGATTGGAAGCAGGAGTGGCATGAACTTTGATAAATGATGATAATTATAGAAAGGCTCCAGGCTTTTTGTTCATAGGGTCACTATGAGTCGTGTTCAACCAGAAGGCAATCAACAACAACAACATAGTAATAGAACTGCCCCACGTGTTTCTCTCGGCAATACTCTTTTCACGAAAAATAGCTAGATTTCCCTCCTGTGGAGTGCCAGGTTCAAACCATCAACTTTTATGTTACTGGTCATACTCTTAACCACTGCACCACCAGGGCTCCTAAACTTTTAGTTCACTCAAAAGACTAACAAACTCAGGGTACTTGAGGTGAAGGGGTTCAGGTGTTGGGAATAAATAAGATAGAAACATAAATGACTACAAATTGAAGCCAAATCAAATGTAAATGCAACTAAGAGGAAACAAGGAAGAATAGGGGAAGATGAGCGTGGCCTTGAAGTCAGAAGCCTCGGGTTCAGTGTCCTGAAAAATTATTGATCAGGGGAAGGAAGGAGATGTGTTTCAAGTAATTGCATCCTGTCCCGCGTGATATTTTTCTTCCACTGCAGCCTGAAAACCTGCTGTACCTCACCCCTGAGGAGAATTCCAAGATCATGATCACAGACTTTGGACTATCCAAAATGGAGCAGAGTGGCGTCATGTCCACTGCCTGTGGGACCCCAGGCTATGTAGGTAAGTCTGTGAGCAGGAGGAAGGTTGACCAGCTGGTCACTCAGAGCCACATGGATCTTTCTTCATCAGACAGAGGCAGAGATAGGGTTCAATTTCAGGGGCGATTCAGGTCAGGCATGCACTCATGGTGTTTCAATCTAGCCTGTCCTATCTCTGTAACCATCATTACTGCTCCTAATCCTTAAATCTTTAGCGTTATCCTGACCCTGAGACCTTTCTCACAGCCTTGTCTGCACTTTAACTCTTCTGCAGACAGACTTTCTGATTCTTCTCCCCAGCTTGCGTAGGAGCAAAGATAAGGGCACAGACTCAGAGATCAGTCAACAGCCCTATCTCCCTCTTCCCATCCTAAAGGAGAGTTCAGTTCCCAATTGTTAGAAGCCTGAGAATAGAGGAGGTGGAGTTTGACAGGATGAACCCAATCGTGAATACTGAAATATGCTCCCGGGGAAACACCCCGGAAATGGACCTCTTGCCTAAAAACGCTGGAGGCTTCTGGAACCTTCAGAAAGTGTGAGTAGGCAGGCCACCAGATGAGATACCTGGGACTAAAACGAAATCCCTCTTAACTAAGGATTATCTGGCTGGGATGTATTGTTAGGTGCCACTGAGTTGACTATAACTCTGAGCGACCCTATGAAAAACATGTGTGAGCCTTGCCTTATCTTGTGCCATCCTCACAATCTCTGATATTCCCAAGCCATTATTAGCAGTCACTGGCCAATCCATCATGTTGAGGAGCCTCCTCTTTTTTTCTGACCTTCTACCTTTCCCAGAATGAGATCTTACCCCAAGGACTGCTTCCTCCTGACAACATGTACTAAGTATGTAAGACCAAGTTTTGCCATCCTTGCCTTTCAGGAGCACCTTGGGACCGTTTCCTCTAAGATGAACTAGTCTGTTGTTTTGGCAGCTGGTGGGATACTCAGTACTCCTCACTGACACCACAACTCAAAGACATTAGTTCTCCTGTCATCCTTGTTCATCCAACTTTCAGATGCATGAGAGTACGGAGTAAGGAACAGAATCTAGACTCAAGAAATCTACTATCCACAAAAGACATATGAGTCCTACTAGGTACAAAGCCTTGGTCTCTGAATAAATATAGAAAGCAACACTCCACCACCTAGCACTCCACCAGTTCATGGAGGAATGCACAACTCTCCTTCTCTTGACATGCTTAGCTGATGAGCAAACCACTCTCTCACAGAAAGTATCCAGAGCCTGCTGGAGACCATATCCCTTACCCACTAGGAGCTTCTAACCTTAGGGGGAGACACAGCCTCTCTGCCTTCAGAGAACTCCCAATCTATTGAGAAAGAGATACTCCCATTCTGGAGAGCTCCCAATCTGAACCCTTTGCCCTGGTGACCGTCACCATCTATGAAGGGCGACAGTGTTATCAGGAGCGAATAGTCAGACTAATGAGGGAGACATGGCCCTGGAGACCCCCAGTCTGAGAGGGTGTCCTCTCATTATTAGCACGAAGTTCCCCCTTCCCTCCCCAGTTATAATAGCCTCTCTTCTCAGGAAGATTTAGCCTGGTGGCAAAGATACAGCCCTTTCCCTCCTGGAATTAAGAGGGAATTAACATTCTCCTAGGAACCGTGAACCATGCTGTTACAGGCTGCCCTAGCCCTCTTCTCTAAGTCTCTTCCTGACCAACCCAACAGCCCTCTCCTCTTGCCAGCAGCCGTGACTCTGCCTTTGGTTTGTTGTAGCACCAGAAGTGTTGGCTCAGAAGCCTTACAGCAAGGCCGTGGATTGCTGGTCCATTGGCGTCATCACCTACATACTGTGAGTAGACGCATTGGCTCGGCTCCTCAGAAATCTGAGAGCCTGCCCACCCCAGCCTGTGACTTCCTTCTCCCAACTCAGCTCCACAGCAGCATCTGCTTCCAAAGCAGCTCACACACTGGGGTACAGTCCCAAAGGTCCCTCTGACCTGATCCCCACTGGATCACAAAACCAGGGCTCAGTGTGACCCACTGTTCAGGGACCTGGCACTTCCCCTTCGGCACCATGTCCCTCTCCTGCTTGCTGTTGACATGCGTGCCGAGTCTCACACTAGGGAGCAGGCAGTGAGAAAAGAGAGGCCGAGACAGGCTCTGAAGGCAAGTGAACCCAATATCCCAGCATCTCAGTCTTCTTTTCTGTGATGTCAGCTCAAGGCTGTCTTGCCTCTCCACACCCTCTTAAACTCTCACTTTCCCAACTGCCCATTCCTCTTCCCTGCTGTCGCTCTCTCTGCCTGTGACAAACTACTGTGTGAAAAATGCCTCCCGTTTGCTGCTTACTCTTAGTAAGTTTAGTTCTTAGTTACACAGTTAATCTTCAACAATGACCCTCATTCCCTCTAGCTTTTCCCATTCTTAATTGTGATTTGAGTGAAAATTTAGAAAGCAAATGAACTTTTCATTCAACCATTTATCCACAGTTTGTTCTATCGCATTCATTTCAGTGCCCACAATGTAATTACACGTGCCCTACTTCTCTGTGATTCTGATTTCCATGAATCCTTCTGTGCCTCTCTGTCTTCCTCTTCTCTAATAACACCGTGTTGGTCAGTGTTGCCTTTCCCATCACCCATCTTAATAAATGCCTATTATCTAACTCTCCTCTCCACCCTTCCCATCCCTGGTCACCTGCCAAGAATGGGCTAAGTGTAAACCTTTCTTTAGCTCTTTCTAACAATGGTCTTACACAATATTTGTCTTTTGTGATTGACTCATTTTACTCAGTTATAATCCCTAGACGAATTTCATTCCCTTTTTTCCAATAAAGAAACAATAGCTTCCTACCCTCTGCCCGTCGCTGGACTAGGTGCTAATGGATACAGCACTGACCAAAACAGACAAAGCCAAAACCTCTCCTCTCATGAAGCCTGCCTTCAAGTGGCCACCCTGCCATCTTTCTTAAAGATAGTTTATCCACCACCCGAGAGCAAGGGGATGGACAGGGAGTGGGGAGGATAGGGACTTTCAGGAGCTGCTGCTTCTGACTCGTGGATTCTCCTTTGTAAGTGCTTGTGGGACCAGTGTCATTCCTGAATCAGAGGCAGATCAGCTTCCTGGTCATACCACTGACCTGAGATGCCCTGCCTGCCTCTGTCTACTGTGAGGATCTGAGGAAAGGGGCAAGGCAAGCCCAGGGAGTGCAGGGTGGCTCACCAGCCCTCTCCCCTGTGTTGCGTTGCAGGCTGTGTGGGTATCCCCCTTTCTATGAAGAAACTGAGTCTAAGCTTTTTGAGAAAATCAAGGAGGGCTACTATGAATTTGAGTCTCCATTCTGGGATGACATCTCTGAGTCAGGTAAGCCCAGTTGGGTGGGAAGAACAAGATGAAAAGCTCAGGTGGGTGGGGGGAAGGGACTGTCAGAAGAAGACAGTGTAACAAAGGCAGACGGCCCTAACTCCTGGGGGTTCCCCAGAGCTTTAAAGAGCAGACTGCCAAGACACCTGCAGAGATCTTCCTCTGGTTCAAAAGTCAGACGAACCCTTTGTGTCTAAGGTCCATGTGCTTGTTTTCCTGGAGGCAAAACCACGGGATGCCTGTTAAAAGGAGATGAAGGTAGTTTACATTAGAGGTGAAAGGTGGAGGAAGGCGGAGGGGAATGTCACAAGGAGGACTGGGAAAGCCTAGAAGTTCAATGCCAAGTGCCTAGAACACGCAATATACATGTATAAGAGAATATAGTCGATCCGCTATGTGCATGCTCAGCCCATTTAGTGGAATGTGGAGCTGGGAGAAGCCAGGCTACTTGTCCCCATGTGCCCTAACTCACTGCAAATGCATACACGTGGCATACAGGCACATGGCTGCCTTGTGATGAGGGACAGATCTGTGGTGCTGTGTGGGTGAGGGAGGCTACTTAGAGCCTCTTTCTTTAGCGGAGTATGGTGGGTTGTTAGGTGGTTTGGAGCCATTTTCCTCCCCCTCCTTTAAGACACTTAAAATTACTTCTTTGGAAAATTAACTAGAGACACATTCACTGCCACCCACCAGCCCAGAAGTGAATTTCCATCAGTCATGAAATTTGGTCCTTAGCTGTTGTGTCTTTGAATGTTCCCCTTAGCCAAAGATTTCATTTGCCACCTGCTGGAGAAGGACCCAAGCGAGCGGTATACCTGTGAGAAGGCCTTGATGCACCCCTGGTGAGTGAAAGAACAGTGGGGAACTCTACCCACCTGCCTCCCCAAAGCGTAACACTAGTCCTTAGAATCTGCGTGCCCTGAGCTGTTTGTTGTTGTGGCATGGATTGTTCACCGGGTCACTTTGAAGAGCATGAATTTGAGTGGGCACCATCCCTGCCCACTCTCAGCTGTATTCCCACAGCCACTCCCTAGCCAGGTATCCCCTCCTCCCTCCACAGGATTGATGGAAACACAGCTCTCCACTGGGACATCTACCCGTCGGTCAGCCTCCAGATCCAGAAGAACTTTGCCAAGAGCAAGTGGAGGGTGAGTTGTCCTGGCTGCTCCAGACAGGGGCTGGCAGCAGCTTTTGCGTGGGATGTCCCTGTGGACTAGACCCCAGTAGACACTGGTGATCCCTGGGGCCCTCTCTGCAATAAGAAGTGGGCAGAGTGGTGGGTTTAAGGGGGCAACCAGAGGACTTGAGCCCTGTGGGCCTCCAAGGATGGGCAGGTCAAGTGTTTGGTGTTGTGTTTTCTTAGCAAGCCTTCAATGCAGCCGCCGTGGTGCATCACATGAAGAAGCTGCACATGAATCTGCACAGCCCGGGGACCTGCCCAGAGGTGGAGGACAGGCCTCCTGTCACTCAAGTCTTAGAAGTCTCCAGACCCAGCTCCCCCGAGATCACCATCACCGAGGCACCTGCCCTGGACCAGAGCGCGGCCCTCCCAGCCCTGACCCGGCTGCCCTGCCAGCACACTCCCTGTCCCTCTGTCCCCGGAGGCAGGTCCCTCAACTGCCTTATCAACGGCTCCCTCCGCATCAGCAGCAGCCTGGTGCCTATGCAGCCGGGACCCCTGGCCACGGGGCCCTGTGGCTGCTGCTCCAGCTGTCTGAGCCTCGGGAGCAAAGGGAAGTCCTCCTACTGCTCTGAGCCCACTCTCTTCAGAAAATCTAACAAAAAACAGTACGTATCCTCAGGCAAAATCCAAGCCCAGCCCAGCTCAACCTGAGTCTGAAACAATTCACACGATGATACTTGAACAAGTTACCAAAAGGCCTTTCTCGCCTAAAAAGCCCTTGTGTAGGGAGGGAAGGGGAAGCTTTGAAGCAAGGATCAAGGGACATGCTCCCAACACGGTGGCTGCTACTCACTGGCTATGTGCCATCAGCAAGGCGGTGAATCCCTGTTTCTATTTCACTCGGCTCTAAAATGGGTCGGTTAGCTTCCACTCAAGTGGCCACACGGAAGTTCAATGAAGCGACAGAGCTTATGTGGGCTCACTGCAAAGGGTAAAGTTCCCGGTATATATGTGAGGGGTGAGCACTAGAGTCCTGGGTTATCTGGGACCTCTCTGTCTTGGTGGTCTTTTCTGCAGGGTCTTATACTTTGTGAATCTCAGTAAAGTAGAACGGAGATGGTGCCACAGACACAGAGAACTATCACAGATGGGGACACACACACACACACACACACACACACACACACACGCACACACACTCGGCTCGGCTGCCTTCCTGAAAGCGTTAAAGCCGCTGCTTCCTCTCCGTCACAGGCATTTCAAATCAGAGGTCATGGTGCCAGTGAAAACCAGCGGCAGCTCCCACTGCCGGGCGGGGCAGACCGGAGTGTGTCTCATCATGTGATCCCTGGAGCCTCCGCCTGTGTCACTATAATTTTCAGGTGAGGGAATTAGAATGGCCATCATAGGGGGTTCTGGGGAGAGCACCTGTCTCAGAAGGACAGCCCCATCCTAAATTCAATAAGAGGTCTCCCGGGGTGGAGGGCAGACAGAGCTAGCTGCCCCACCCTTATCCTGCAACCCTTCCCTTTGCAGGAGAGATGTTCGATTCTTCTCTGACCCTTGCAACCTGGCACCAGCCCTGCCGCAGGACAGTGGGGGAGCAAGCAGAGCAGGGCCTGGCAAGAGCGTTTCCTGGTCAGAGAACCAGACTGCAGCCACCATGGGCAGACCCTGTGAGGTGCCCCCAGAGTGAACCCCGGCATGAGGCCTCACGGAAGCTGTGGGCAGGAGGTGTGGCGTTCACAAGCCCCTGGGTCTCCCTGACCTATCTGCTCTGCGCCCCCGACCCTACGTGCCGTGGCTCTGTGCAGTGTGCCTAGATAGCTCTCGCCAGGTCTGTGTTATTTGTCATAAAAAGCTTTATGGGCTGGCCAGGCTGTCATTTCCTCCAAGCAAAGCCATACGGAGCATCCATGCAGCTCCCCGCTCTGTGCACTCACACCCTGCCTTCACAGCCCCATCTTCACGGCTAGAAAGGGCCTGGTGACATAGCTGCATGTCCATCTGCATGAATGCTGGCAGCTCCCGGGGTGGCCTGAAGGCTCTCCAAGTTCTCATCCTGAACCCCAGGACCAGCTTCTGCCCACTGTGACACCAGCCAGCCGAATCCCCAGCACACTTCCACCTGAACTGCCTTCCAGCCCCAATCTAGATGCAACCTCACACCCTCTGAGGTGAAATGGAAAGAAATCCTCACAGAGATACTGTAAGAAAGTATATCCTGACCCAACACCCTTCAGACACACCCAACAGAGCAAAAAATCAAAACTGACTCTTTTCAGCCATCATTCCCATCCTGCCTCTGCTTCCATCTCTCCCTGAAAGCCAGGCACACCCTCTTGTCTCTCGCCAGTCTTCACAGTCCTCCATCCACTCCAGCTTCATGCTCAAGTGTTGTACTCAATAAAATGGACATATTTTTCTCTACCAGCCTTTGTTTGGTTCTTTGCAAAGTCAGAACAGCCCCAGGACTTGGGAGTCTGCGTGGCGTTCTGGAGCGTACAGGGAGTTTGAGGTCAAGGAGAAATGGGCAGTGATAGCCGAGGGACATCCAATGAGTGCTGTTAAGTAGGACACCTACAAGTTACAGTGCCCGTAGACTCAGTCACTCCTCAGTCACTACAACTCCTTGGGGGCAGGTTTGGTGGGAGCCCAGGCCATCTGGCTCCAACCCATTCTTTCGATGGCACACCTGGGTGAACCTGAGTTCCAGGCTCTGCCCTGCCTGCCCTGCCCAATCTGTGACTTTAAGTAAGTTGGTGTTGTGTACCATAGAGTCAGATTCAACCCTAGGTGACCCTCTGGTGCGTTTTCAGAGGTAGTTAATTGTACAGGAGTAGATTGCCCATCCTCCTGTGGAGCAGCTGGTGGATTTGAACCTTGTGCCTTCAGAATTGCAATGAAGCGTCTTGCCAATAGGCCACCAGAGCTCCTACTGTGCCTCACTCTTCATGTGGGAATAACTGTGCTACCTTCAGCATGAGATAACATAGGTGATGTGCCTAACACAGTGCTCAGTAAATAAAAACCAAACCCACCTCAGCAATCGATTCCCGCTCATAGTGACCCAGTAGAATGGACTAGAACTGCTCAGTACTGTTCCTTAGGCTGTAACTCCTTATAGACTGCCACTCCAATGGAGCAGCAGGTGACTTTGAACCCCTGCCCTTTTGGTTAGCAGAACAGTACTTTAACCACTGTGTCACTGGAGCTCTTTTACACTAAATTGGTTATATCATTAACAGTGAAAGTGGACAAAAATGCACAGTGCCTGGGACATGGTTGACATACAACTTCCATTGCATGTATCCTTCCAAACACAAATCTATTTAGACCTTCTTAAGTACCCACAAGACAGAGTCTAGTCTTAGCCCTGTCTCCTTGAGTTCTCTAAAGATGCAGAGTCTAGTATTAGCCCTGTTTCCTCGAGTTCCCTAAATACAGAGTCTAGTCTTAGCCCTGTCTCCGTGAGATATCTAAAGACACAGAGTCTAGTGTTAGCCCTGTCAGTCCAGTGAATCAATGGTGTTCACTCCTCTCTCTACTCCCATCTTGAGGCCGCATTGTCTCGAGAGTAGACTGGCTGTGGACTAGACTCTATGAAAGATGCTCTTTCCAGGAAGTTGCATTAATACAGACATTGCCTGTCTTTCTACCCTCACCTGTAAATGAGATGGTTGTTAGACTGTGTGCCATCGAGTTGGATCCTACTCATTGTTGACTGTCCATTGGGTTTTCAGAGGCTGTAAATTGCATGCAATCTTTTTTCCCCAAGGAGTAACTGGTGGATTTGAACTACATGCCACTGGGGGTTGGATGCCTAACTCTTTACCCACTAGGTCATCAGAGCTCCCTCAAAGAGAAGGTAGAAACTTCCTCTTGTATTTCAGATCCCAAAAGACCAAATTCATCAGGTCTTAGACCAAACAGGTCCACCTCTGAGCAAACCTAAGTCTGGGTGATGGGTAAATCAGATCAGAAGTTGTCATCCCTTAGCCTCCAACAGAGGAGGTGCTGGAAGCCTGCTGGAGGCAGAAACAATGGACAAAAGTTTACTTAATAAACAAAATTGAAAAAAGAAAAATAAACTTACTTTATGAAGACAAAGACTTTTTCTTTTCATTGAGCTTCCAGGCTCTTTAAAAAAAAAATGTTTTATTTGACTTTTCATTTCTACATTATGTGGTGGTTATGTTTTCGTGCTAGTCCGGGAATCACTCTCAGAGAAGGATGAGGGAAGAGGAAAGGTAAAGGGACATTGCCCAGTCAGCTTCCTCCCCTTAGCATCCTCCCAGTCTCAATAGCAGGGCCCCTTCCACCTCTGTCCCTCCAATGGACTTGTCCCATCCATTCTGGCTCAGTTGCAGCCCAGGGATGACAGCCCAGGCTGGGATTGAGGTTGAGAAAAAAGTGTTTTCCCTCCAAAAACAAAGAGGTCCAAGAAGTGAAGCTAGAGCCGTGACATTTCACTTGCAGGTGGCGTAGTAGAACACTCGCTGGTTGATGTGGTCCCGGATCTCTTCCACGTGTCTCTCCAGACCGCTCAGGTCAGCGGAGCGAAGGATGATGGCCTGTCTTCCCCGAAGCAGTTCTGACTCCATGTCTGGGGACAGAGGGGGTAAGAGGGTAGGTGGAGAGCTGATGAGACAACCTGTGACTCAACCCTCCCTTCTCCTCCTGCCTCAAGGCTACATGTTTGGAGAAATCATATCTAGGACTGACTGGACTGTAAACTAATGACCAGAGCTCCATGCAAGATGGTCTCTCCAGCCCCTTGGCTCTCCTCTCGTCCCATCTGATGCAATAGGGGCCAGACTCAGGAGGCCTTAACCATCCATAATCCCTTATCCCTCCTGCTCTCCACTGTTCTAGCTTCTCCCAGTTGCTCTAGACTGAGGCTTCTGGGCACACGGCTACTAGAGCCAGGCAGCCGCCAATCTTCCACCAATCCCTTGTTGGACACCCAACAAAAGAACTGGCCCATGACTAGAACTCGCTCCTGCTTCCAGTCCCAAAATGTCACTCCAGTCAAGTCTCCCCCCTCTATGTGTGTCACCACTCATTCATGCTTGGAGGACTTGAAGGACTTCAAAATGACATGGTAGTCCATTCCATTCTTCATGTCATTCTGGGTGGGCAAACCCCCTTCACTTCCATGAGGGCTTAGAACCAGGCTCAGCTTAAACATCTCAGGAGTAGGGAGAGAACACTCTGCCTCACAAGGTTCCAACTTGAGGCAGCTCTAATTGTTTAATATCCCTTTTTCTCTTTAAGCTAAAATCCAACCACTTCTTGCTTTCACCCAATTGCCTCATTTCAGGAGGTGCAAGGATATATCTGCTCTGTTCCCATGTCAACCCTTCACAGTTTAGAGGCTGTGCCCTCTCCTGGTTCAACAGCCTTGACTCCTCCATCTATCTGTGGTATGATGTAACTTCCGATTTCATGATAGCCTGGTCACTCTCCCTTGACGTGGGCAGGTTTGTCAATCTCTCTTTGGTAGAGACAGTGGAGACCACTTGAACACCATTTCCCAGGAGACAGCGTATCAAGTGTGGCGAGGTTATGACTGGGCTGCCGGTCAGTCTGCAGACATCTATCTACATGGACCTCACCCACTGCCATCAAGTCAATTCCGACTCATGACAACACACCAGTGGGTTTCCAAAGCTGTAAACCTTTATGGGATGAAACTGCCCACCTTCCTCTTATGGAGGAGCAGCTGGTGAATTTGGACAGTTGTTGGCAGCCTAACAAGATACACACTGGGCCACTGTGGCACCTTCATGTGGAACTGTTCTTGCTGTTGTGTCCCCTCGAGCTGCTGACCCTGTAGCCAATTTACAGAGGCAGCAAATCCCGTGGGAGTTGTTTGCTCATCTTTCTCCCATGGAACAGCTGGAAGATTTGAACTATGGACCTTTGGGTGAAAGCAGTTTCTTGTCACTAAGCCATCAGGGTTCCCTAATGCTGAGAGATATTATTGGCAAAACCCTTCATCTCAGTATCTCTGTTTTGTTGTTGTTACTAGGTGGCACTGAGTCAAGTATGACTCATACTGACCCTATGAACAACAGATCTGAACCCTGTCCTATTCTGTGCCATCATCATCATCATCATCATCTCATGTTGACCTGTTGTTGTTAGGTGTTGTTGAGTCAAGTACGACTCATAGTGACTCTATGAACAGCCAACCTGAAGCCTGCTCTTTCCTGTGCCATCATCATCATCTCTGTGACACTTGAGTCCGTTGCTGAAGTCACAGTGTTAATCCATCTCATTGGGGGCCATCCTGTCCTTCTCTGACCCTCCATCTTCCCAAGCATGATGTCCCTTTCCAAGCCTCATCTTGCTCCATGTCCAAAGTATGAAAGCTGTAGCTTCGTGATCCTTGCCTCCAAGGAGCACTCTGGCCGCATTCTTTCCAGGACATATCTAGTAAAATACTAAAATGCTTCCATCGCTGCTATCTCCTCTTCATGGCTCACATATCAGTGATTCTCCCCAAAATCTAGCAATTAAAGATAAATTCATGCAAACTAATAGGTGCCCCTTGCCACGATCTAAGCCTTTTCTGGGTGGTGGGTGTATGTCATAACAGTTGCTAATTTATTTACTATCATCCCTGAGCTGTACTTCATTTCATTTTGGCTGCTTACTTTTTAAAGCAAGCTTAGAAACATGAGTGGCAACCACTTTCGAAAGAGTTTGCCTCCAGAAACTCTATGAACTTGGAGAAACTATAAAAGTTATATAATTGTTCAGGTCTTTTGTTGATAGGGTCGTTATGAGTCGCCTATGACTTGACAGCACTTAACAACAACAATAACTTTTGATTAGCTCTTTTGGCAATAGCAAGCCACTGCTAGCTTACATCGAATTCACAGTTACTAAAATGTCAGGGTCTTCTTCAGGTGGATAAGAGCTCATGTTAGCTCACCATTTACCGGTGAGGAAGAATTTGCAGCAGCATTAGTCAATGAGAGGTCAGACCTCTCCTGCAGTGTGCTCATAAATTCAGGCCCAGACCACACCTATGAGTTCTCTTTTCTTCTTATTTAATTTTATCCAGTTTGTTTCCGGACATCCTGTTAGACTTTTGCGATTCCCTTAGAACAATAGGCCTACTGACTATTGAATTAAATAAGTTTGAATTAGCTATGGATCACCCACACACTATACACTTAACATGCACCTTCTTTATCTTCATGGTAAGGGTTAATGGAAAAGGCAATGACAAGCAGAGACCTTGGGCTCCTTCCTTGAGGTCAGCTCTTCTGGCTTTGCCCTTCAATGTGGTCAGTCATAGCCTCACATCTGCTCAACTCATCCATCAACCCACCCTTCTCCAGGGTGTCCACCTGGATACCCAACGAGATTTTTGTGATTAAATTTTACTGAAATTCAGACACTCTGTGGTATTCACCAGAGACACTAGTCCAGTGATCCCCTCATCATATCTTGGAGCTGTGACTTTGGCTCCTGGAGGTCCCTGGCCCCCTTCTAAGTGAACCCCATCACTCTTTAGGATATTTGATAGAGAAGCCTTCAATGGTTCCCCACTGCAGCTAGAATTAGGTCTGCTCTCCTGGCAAAGAAGTCCAGTGGCACAATACGCTACGTGTTGGTCAAATCTCCAAGCTACTCCAAAGGAGAAATCTGCGCAGTCTTCTCCAGTGAAGATTTACAACCTTGAGAAACTGATGGAGGGTCGCTATGAGTTGGATTTGACTCACAACAGAAGGTTTTCCCCTCTTGGCCACAGAGCCAGCCATGTCTACACAGACTCTACCTCTTCCACAGTCCCCCTCCTCACAAACCCTGCTTTCTCGAGAGTGAGCCCTGACCCCTTCCTCAGGGCAGGCCTTGTTCTTTCCAGCCATCCTATCTTCATGCCCCTTCTCATTCTCTCAGTCCCTCCCAGACCTGTACTTTCTTCAGTGTCCATCTCTAGTCTGATCTTTGGGGAACATTACTTTCACTGAACATTCTTCAGCAAAAGAAACCCTTTCTCCTCTGAGTATCTAGAGCTCTTAGTATTCAGGTCCCTGTTTCAGGTTGCCTTTTTCTATGAAATAAAGTTTCATGCACCTTGCAAGAAATTAAAACCATGATGCCATGTGGATTACCAACTCCCTGAGGGGAGGGCCAAGTCTTGGGCATCCCCCACAGCCTTCCTTTGATCCTCAGATTTATGAGCCCACTAAATCCTGACTAATCTCACTCCATGAGCAGTGGGCCTCAGTAACACTGACCAGGACTAGCCTTCAGTTATGTCCTACAATCCAAGCCGCTCAATGCCCCTCTCACCTTTCATCCTGTCCATCATCTCTACGGTCTCCCCAAACAGCTTCTCGGCCTCTGTCTTGACACTCTGAATCCGGCTGCCCTGCTCCCCCAGCAAGGGGCTCCGACCCAGCCGGTCCTTCAGCTCCGCATACTTCTGCTTTACTCTCTCAAAGCCCTGGAAAAAGGCAGAACGTGTCGTCATTCGCATCAACCAAAGTACCAAAGACCCAGGCTCTAAACACTTGTTATCACCCAACAATGAGATGTTGCTTCCTAATACTCCCTAAAGACAATGGAAACATCATCTGCTAAGAAGAAGGTTGGATGTTTGATCCCACCTAGAAAAGCCTGGTGAATAAAAAAGAAAAGAGAAAAAAAAACAAACGGATGATCTATTTTTAAAAAAAGTCATCCATTGATGGGAGGGACTGGAGAGCATTATGCTGAGTGAACTAACTCGGTTCCATAAGGACAAATACTGCATAAGACTATTATTGTGGAATGAGTATGAGGACCTAAGGGAGAGAGGGGACCAGAGGGGTGAAGGATGGACAGAGGGCAGAATGGTTAATCATAGGATCGCATGATTTGAAGGGTGGAAAGAGGGATGGGTAAAGGAAAGGAGAAAGATCCGGGGTGAAAAACAACATATATGAACTTTGTAAGTAAGCCAGTTAAAAAACAAATTTAAAAATAGTTAAAAAACTCTACTAGATTAAAAAACAAACACAAAATTGGCCATTGAAAACTCTCTCGAACACAGCTCTTCTCTCACACATGACAGGTCATTGTTAAGAAGCGCCAACTCAGCAACCACTGCTTATTATCTCCTCATAGATTTGTTTTGCCCATAAAACCCTTAGGCTATAGACTTTTACTTCAACTTCTTGTGTTTCCTTTCCTCCCATCATTTTACCCACTTCACTTCCAGCACAAGGTCAAATCCAAAGATGTCACTTAACAGCACACTTGGCAGCAAGGCCACTGCGGGAACTATAAGGGCCAAGGCTCTGGGGAAAGTAAATGGCCTGAGGCATGCAGGACTGCTCTTTGGTCTGTTTCCTATAGTGCTGGGGCCCTGGGCAGGCTCAGTAAAGTCCTTATATCTGTTCTGGAGAACCAAGACAGAGCCTGAGTTCCTGTACCAAGTAACAAGTTCTAGAGACCTTGTAGATAAGCTTTGATCTCCTAGACAAGTCAGCGCCTCCTCTGTAAAAGAGGTACGGGCCAAGATCACCTGCAGCATCCCTGAAACTGCTATACTGAAGGCAGCCACTGGACGGCAGGGGAGAATTTAAAACTTTCAAGTTGGGTTCTATGTGAGACCCCTTCTTGTTCTTTTCTAGTTGCTTCTGACCATCGTGTATCAGCCCTCCCTGGCTCTGGACCCCCCGGGGCTCTCTTTCTCTGCACCACCCTTATTCCACCACGCCCTGTACCTCCTGGGCACTCAATGCCTGCTTGCTGGCGCCCTCAGCGAGCTGCTGGGCCTGCCCCGCCTGTGTCCGCTGCTGCTCAGCCTGGCGGCGGAGTTCCGCTATCCGTGCCTGGAAGCCACTCAGCTGCCCCATCATGCCCGTCACCAGCTTTGCTGTTGGTCCAAGTACCTGCTGAACCTATGGAAAGACAGGGAAGTGGACGGGGCTTGTAGGGGGCCTTTGACTCCCCGCTTACCTCTCTGACTCATTGGGCAACAAGATTCTCTCCCACCTGCAAATCACAGATGGCCCTCTTCCCAGTCCTCTGTCCCACTGGCACCCAGGCCTCCTCCCCTTCCCACTCAGAGGACCCCACTGGGGCTCAGAGTCCAACCCCAGCTTCTGCATGCTAGATACAGACCAGAAAAGTCAACACCTCAAAGTCACGCCCACGCTTGTCCCCCTCCTTCTTCACGGCCTCCAGTCCAGTTTCCATCATTCTGTTTCTGACACTTTCTATACCCTGACCTATATCTGGCTGTTCGTTCCCCAGATATGGGGGGAACAGGGGCAGGGGAGAAGGAACTGCTTCACCTCACCTCATCGACCCTCTCCTGGATCAGCCGAAGGGAGCGGCTGGTGCCCTGCATGGTGTCCTGAGCCTCCTGCAGGGCCACGGTCCCCTGCCGCAGGTTCCCCACCACGTCCTCCACCTGGCCCTCTACGGTATGGGCACGGGACCTAGGACACAGGGAGTGAAGGGCAAGGCGTGGGCAGAGGAGCAGACAAGCGAGTCAGTGTGTGGGTCTCCTCCCTCACCAGGCCGAGGCGAACAGGCAAGGGAACACTAACTCAGTAGCTACAACACCCTCAAACAACAAATGTGGGTGTTACATACAAAACCACTTAGGGCAAAGTTCCAATAGGGAAGGTAGGGCCATGCGTGCAAAGATTAACTTAGAACCTGTGCATGATGTAAACAACCACAGGAACAACCAACCACAATAAATACCGGCCTGCCCCGCCAAGTCCTTTGTGCCCTCTGATATGCCAAGGCTCTTCTCCTGCTCCCAGAAACAGGGTTGGGGAACAAAAAACCAGCCTGAGCCCAGGCAGGAGAGAAGTTCAGGGCCCGGGCTGTACCTGGCCTTCTCAGCCTCAGCTTGTAGCCTGCGGGCCCGAGCAATGTCCTGTTGGGTCTGGGCCAGCACCAGGTCCACGTTGGGGAGCCTGGCCGCAATGGCCTGGATCTCGTTCATCTTCCGTAGGACCGTAGCAGAGTCTGTGGGCAGCCACAGGGCCAGCACGGCTTCACTGACTTCCTGGATGGTGGCTGCATCAGTGACAGGGTCTGGAAGACAGATGGCCTTGAGATTTGGGAGAACCCACCCCATCTCTTTAAAGGTCCAAGTAGAAGAGTCCCATGGAAGGGGCAGATGGTGGTCCTTACTCCCTGTGCCCCAAGGAACTGCCACTTCCCTCAGGCAGCCTCCGGCCCTGTACCGTGAGGATGCTGGGGGACAATGTGGGCAGGTGACGGTCCTGAACCCCATGGTGTATGAGGAGAATATCAGCACAGCTGTGGCACCTAAGTGTCTGGAGCCACAGGAAGCTGCAGGCTGGAGGGAGGAGGTGGTGCCAGGCAGCTGGTGCGAAACAATGCTGAAGTATATGCATAATCGGTCCTAAATTAAGGAGAATGGCCAGGAACTGAGAGCTGCTTCCCTGGAAATGAGACTCCATGCACACGCCCTTCCTGGGGGCCGTATGCTCACTTTTTATAAAGGTGGAAAAATGGAATCAGGTCTTTGCTCAGTGACCCCTTTGATGGCCACTCAATCTAGCACTGCAATTTTTACGTGGCACTCTTCCTCCGCAGGCCAGGGCCAGCTTCCTCCTGGCACTTGTCAACTCATTGATCTGCTCCCTTGTCTCTTCCCTCCTAGAAGGCAAGTTACATGGGGACAAGGACTTTGTGTTGTCCTCAGCTCCAAGCACGTGCCCTGGCACTCAGAGGCACGCAGTATTTGTGGAGGGAATGAATGACTGAAAGGATTCTGGATTCAACTTTCACCTTTCCTGCTCAAGCAACCTGGGGCAAGTCTGAGCTCAGTTTCCTGATCTGTGCAATGGGACTGTCTACCTCTAACCTGAAAGAAGCTGATGAAATAATCTATTACCAAGAGTTTTAGGGGCCAAACTTGTGTCCGAAAGCAAGGGCAGAGCTAGAGTCCCTGGGAGTACAAACAGATCATGCCATCAGCATCTCAGGAAGAAAGAAAAGCCGACAGGGCATAGTTATACTCTTCTGACACACAGGTTGGGGTAAGGGGTCACCGTGAGGTGGAATCCACTTGATAGCAATCAGCCTTCTTATTTTATCAAGGACATTGAGGAACTGAGAAAGTCAATGCCTCCTTCCTCCCTGGTGTGACCTGGCCTGTCATCAGGACCTGGTACCCAGCCCCTCACAGAACAGGACTCTAGAACTCACACAGTTACTGTGAGTGTGACAATCCTTTCAGGTCCAGGTCCCCCCCTCCTAGACACAGCCCTTCCCCCGTGCCAGCCCCATCTCAGGCTCGGCTGCTTCTGTGTCTCTGCCTACATCACAGGACTTGATCTGAATGAGACATAATTATGCCTGAAGGACAGAACGTGACCCGCTGCTCAGTCACTCACTGCCTTGGCTGTAACCTAGAAAAGAGACTTCCAACTCTGGTCCTATCCACGGAGGCCAGGTCCCCACTGAGGCTCGTCCAGGGCAGGTGGTCACCGGACCGCACTGGGCTGACTCAATCCATGTCTGATCCATGTCGGCTGTGCACCATTCGTGTCCCCTAGATGCCCTGCTCCTCCAATGTGGACCTCTCAGGAGGCCTGACCCCACATGATCTTGGGCCAGTCACAGGACGACGTGCACCTTTCCTGTCTCTCTCTGACTTGCCGCCAGCACTCAGGAGGGGCTCCAGACCATCTGGGGCAAAGGTACCTTCATAGTAGCAAGAAGAGTAACTGTGGGTACACCAAGCCCTCAGCTTATATTAACTGGGCTCCCAGCCAAGCAAATTTCCTGGCAGGAACTTGGAATCTAATAATATCAACTCACATTCCTAAGGCACTTTTAATTTTTCAAAACACATTTTACATCAGTTATTTGATTCCCAGAATCAACTTGTGAAATACTATCGTCCTGACTTTCAGAGGCAAGAGGAAGCTGAGGGAGAAGGCACCGACCCAAGTCACACAGGTCTCCTGAGACCTAAATCAGGGGCTCTTTCCATTACCCAGTGCTTTCTAACTCCCGGGACAACAGGCGAGAGGGCCGTTCTTTTGCTCAAGAAGCGTCAGGTGCCTTTTTTCAGGCTGGTAGTCTGCTCAAATCTATCAAGGCAGAATCAATCAATAGCTGATGCTCCTATGGATTATGGAGGCTGTAAATCGCATGCGAGGCGCCCACCATCTTTCTCCTGAGAGTCACAGATGGATTTGAACCACTGAGAGGTGTGGCCTTTGGGTTAGCAGGGTAACTCCCAACAAGACACACCACCAGAGCTCACTGAGGTGCTGACAAGGCAACAATGATCCCTGCCCTCCTGGAGTTTACAGTCTAGTGAAGTGACAGACAGGACACTAGTTTGAAGTGATAAACAGCAGACAGTGAATTCTATAACCGTGTAGCCTGAGTGTTGCGAGGGGCCACTGAACTGATTTTGACTCATAGTAGTGACCCCTTGTGACTGAGCAGAACAATAAGACCATGTGTTTTCTGGGCTGTAGTCTTTCCAGAAGCAGACTATTCGTACTTCTCCTGTGGAGCCACCAGGTGGATTAGAACTTGTAGTCTTTCAGTGAGCAGCTGAGCTCTCACTGTGCCACCCAGGCTCTTTGTAGCATAAGCCATGCCGTAATGCAGTAAGAGGCAGTGAAGGGGAAGGGGAAGGAAGAAGATGAACAGATAGGGTGGTCAAGAAAGGCTTCCCTGGGCACACGACATTCATTTCTTTCCACCTTGCTGGCACAGTGGTTAAGTACTCAGCTGTTCACCATTCGGTCAGTGGTTCAAACCTGCCAGTCACTCTACAAGAGGAAGACATAGCAATCTCTGTCTGTAAAGACGGACAACCTGGAAATTCTACAGGGAGTTCTACTCTGTCCTACAGGATCTGTATGTTAGAATAGACTCAACAGCAGTAGATTTAGACTCTGAGCTTTGTTATTTCCTGTCTTCTGCTTCTTTTATTAATCTCATAAGTTGGAGAGTTAGGCTACTGACTTACCATCTCTCTTCTCTTTCAGTGTAGGCTTTTTATTGCTATAAATTTACCTCCAGTGCTGTCTTTGCTGCATCTCGAGAGTTAGGCATACATTTTCACTTTTGTTCAACTTTAAGTTTTTGGTGGTGGTCTTTTTTTTTTTTTTCCAATTTCTCTCTTGAATTTTTCCTTGACCTGTTGATTGTTTGATAGTGTGTTATTTAATCCCTATGGTATAATAAAATTTCTGTTTTTCCTTCTGCTAGTAATTTCTCATGTCATTCCGTAATGGCTAGAGAAAGCATTTCATAGAATGTCAGTCTTTTGAAATTTTTTTGAGAGGTGAAGCAGTAGCCTTGGGGAGAGCACGCCAGGTGGGGAAATAGCATGTCAAAATCACGAGGTTGGCATGTTCAAAATTCAGAGAAAAAGGAAACAGGGAGGAGATCAAGGACACGTGCAGGAGGTGGACAGAGGCCAGATATGGAGGACAAGATAAGGAATTCAAATTTTTAGATAAAAAGATAAAGCTACTCTTCAGCGGTTTTAAGACAGAAAGGTATACAATCCAATTTATGCTGGCAAAAGCTGTTTGAGGTTATTATGTGGAGAATGGCTTGTAAGAGAGCAGGAGTGGAGATGAGGGGTTCAGTAGAAGTCCACAGCAGTGGTCCTGACCAGGACTGGATGGCAGCTCAGAACAGCTACACGAGAGTCAAGAAATGAAGGACCAGAGCAAGATAGCGACTGAGTAGCTGGATGTGAGGATGACAGGCTGGCCAGACCCCAACATAAGAGTGGGCAGGATAGAGCCCAGGCTCACCTGTGAGGAAGTCCCGGACCTGCTGGATGAGGCTCCGGGTGCGTCTGATGTCTTCCTCCATCCGGGAGCGGCTGGTGCTCACCTGGGTCTCTAGGCGCTGAGCATCTGTTTGGATCTGCAGGGCGGCTTCCTCAGCGGCTCTGATCTGTGGACACACTAGGGGTCAGGATGGTTACCCCCAGGAAGCCCCAGAGTAGCACCCAAGGCTTCCAGGAGCCACTCTCTACCCGAAGGCCTGCCTAGGAAGTATCTGTAATGAATACAGTTTGACCCTAGAAAAAATGGTGTGTCTGTCACAGAAAAGCCCAATACAAATGAGCTGCAAACTCTCAGTTAAAATAGGGCTTTGAGTCAGTTGCCTAACACCTTTGGGTGTTAATCCCAAAAACTCACTGATTGCTGTTGAGTAGAAACCAACTCAGAGCTGATCCTCAAGGGGGTTTTCAGAAGCTGGAAATTGCACAGGAGGAAACTGCCCATCTTTCTTCCCAGAAGCAGCTAGAGGATTCACTGTCTGCCTTTGGCCTAACAGGGCACCACCTTACCAAAACTCTATCAGAACTTGAAATCCTTCAGTGGGTTCTATCTCCTCTACCTCCCGAGACTTTCCACCCATCTTCACAGCACCTACCATTTGCCGGGTCTGCTGGAACTGGGTGTTGAAGCCCTGGAGCTGCTTGGCCACTTGCCCCGCTGTCCGGAAGGCTCCTCCAGCCCTGGCCAGTGCACCTGTGCAGCGGGAGCCACAGTCTGTGGCATTGTCACGGGGACACAGCTCACCAGCGCATGCTCCTGGGGTGCAAGACGTCTGCCTGGAGCTGCCACAAAGCTATGGAGAGAGAGGAGGACTGTCTAAAAGGCACCCCAAGGCTCCTCAACAATCACACCCAGAAAACAACCAACTAGACATCTCCATGGCAACTGGGCATTACAAATGTGTTTCCTTGGCAACCAGAGAGCACACCCTTAGGGGCACAAGGGTGGGCATGGGCAGAGGAGTGGTGTGTATTCTCACTGCGGGTGGGAGTTGCCCTGCTAGGAAATGTGTGGCAGTAGCTGTGACATGGGTCAAGCTTGGGGCGGGGGAGTGTCTCTGGGCAGTGAGACTCCAGAGCCCACCTTGTTGATGGCAGGTGTAAGGTCAGGGAAGGAAGCCATCTCCTGCCTCAAGGCTGCGAGCTGGGGGCCGCTGGCACCTCCGCCTCCTGCCCCCTGCCTCTCCAGCTGTTCGGCCTCTCTCCGGCTGTCCCTGAGCTGCAGCAGCAGGCGGGAGCTGTCAGAGACCTGCCGGGCCGCCTGAGATGAGCGCTGGTAGGCTGCGGTCAGCATCCGGAAAGCACCTGTGGGAAGAGGGAAAGGGGCTGAGCGGCCCAGCGGCGGGATGGACAGGGCTGAGAGGAGCAGGGAAGGCCCGCCTCACCTGAAGGGTCAGCACTGCTTATCTTCTCAAACTGCTGCCTCTTGCTCTGGTACAGAACGAGGAGATGATTGAAGCTTCGGCCCAGGTTCTCCAGGTCCCCCTGGAGTGACAGAGTGTCCGCCTCTAGCGGCAGTTCCAGCTGCAGGCCCTGGAGATTCCGCCTGAGAAGGGAGAGGGGTTTTCACTCAAACAGAAGTTCCTCCCTTAGGGCCAGCCTTCATTCTCTTGAGGAAACCAGGGCTAAGCAGGAAAAAGGGGGGAGGACAGAACTATCCCGCTAAGACTACAGACAGAGAAACTATAGGCTGAATATGATCCTGGGCAGTGGTTGGGCCTGTCTCCCTGCTCCCTCCAAAGGGGAGTTGCTCAGTCACCAGCTCTGCCCTGGAGGCCACATCTGCTCAGCTCCAAGCCTCAGAGCTGCTGCCACCATCATCTCCACCCCAGGAGGGTTCCAGACCAAAGAGAAGGCGGAGATTCCTCTCTCTTCCACGCCCTTTGCAACCCCACCTGGCACTGGCGCTCCCTTCCCTTGCCTTGAACTCTCAACCTCGCACTTCATAGCTTTGCTCAGGCCTGGGACTGCCTCCCCACATGTAGGTTCAGAATAGCGATGGCTGTGAGGGGCCAACTCAACTCCTGCAACTTAGGTCAGCCAGCACCTCCCTCAAGAAGCCTTCAGGGCAGCCTCTCTGTAGGAGAGGTAACTGCCGTCTTTTGTAATATGTATTACATTACATGCTAGTAGTGTAATACATAAGGAATCGGGATGCTAGCCAAAGGGGCAGCGGTTCAAACCTACTCGCAGCTCCGTGGGAGTAAAAGGGGCAATCTCTTTCTTACAGACTCAGAAACCCAGAAGTCGTTATGTGTCAGAACCAACTCGAAGGCAGTGAGTGTCACATTAGAGTCACTGTCTGCCTCCCCAGTGGGACCCTTTTTGAGGGAGAAGACTGTATCATATTAATTTTAAGTGCTTAACATCCAGTGCATCGTTTGACTCATAATAGATGCTCAAAAAAAGTGTGCAGTGAGGGAATGAATAGATCCCAATGCTCTAGCTTCTTTAAAAGCTCCATCAGAACCTCCAAAAGTCAGCTCCTGAGCACCCATGAGTAACCGTGGTGTCACTCGGCACCTCAGTTATCATTCTCCTCAGGCTGCCTCTTCCCTGCTGCCAATCACACACCTGGACAGCTCTGTGCACCCGCAGCCAGCCAGCGCTGGGAAAGCAAACTAAATATAGTATCTTCCAGAACCAAAGCTCAGCACCACGGTGGCCTCTGCTGGTGGGAGGGGATGTGGGTGGGAACTCTTCCATTCCAAAGGCAAACAGAATTTATTTTTAGAGCCCCTGCCTCTCTGATGCCCTCCACCGGGTGACTAATCCAAAGCTGATGCTCTTGACAGGTAGTGTGTGTGCTCGGGAAGATGTAAGATGGGGTCCTTGTCACTGGCTCTGACCCTCTGTGGACAGGACACTGTCATGTCACCCCTTGTTCTGTTTCCTCATCTGCAAAAGGGAGGTACTAACAAGTGCTGCGTTAACATGACAAGACTGGGGTGAAACCAGAGAGAATGCATACGAGACAAGGCCTTGGGAGCAGTAAAAGGCCACACACGTGTGAGAAGGGAACACGTGCCCTGGTGGAAGGCCACGAAGCAGAATCAAGAGGGAGTCACCTGATGGAGAAGATGGCACTGGACACCTGGGCCACTTCCTGCTCTGTGGCTGAGGCGCTGCTGAGAATGGCTCGGATCTGATCAATCTTGCTCTTTGTGTCCAGCATGCGGGAGGCCAGGCCTCGGTCCCCCAGGCCCAGCCCAGGCTGCAGGCTGGCAGTGGCATTGCGGAGGCCGCTGAGGCGCTGGGCCTGTTCCCGGAGGTCTGCGTCATAGTCCTGGAAGCAAGGGTGGCAGGCCACACACACCGGGTAGCGATCGCAGTAGCCTCGCTGGCACTGGTCACAGCGGGGCCCAGTCAAGCCCGGACGGCAGAGACAGCGGCCCGAGGTCTTGTCACAGCCAGGGCCCTCAGTTCCCCTGAAGTCACAGTCACAGGCTAGGGTCAGGAAGAAAGGACGGTCAGAGGTTGAGTGTCAGGTACACAGAAGGTGTATGAAGAGGTCTGGCCCAGGGTCCTCCTACACAACTCCGAGGCCTAGGTAACAATCATTGAAACAACAATGACAGAAGCATATGCCGACTTTGTGCCTCCCGTGTGCCAGGCATCTCTGGGGGGCACAAAAAATTCTTTCTCCACTAGGGGGCTCTGGTGAGGCAGTACATAGGGAGCTGCACTGCTCTCTGGCTATTTGAAAAGTGGGCAATTCCCTCCCACATGATTCTCAGCCTCAGAAAACCTGCTGGAGGGTCAGCTCTGAGTCAGTTCTGACTCAACGGCCATGAGAAAAAGACAGAGACCAGTTGGAGGATGACGCCAAGAAGCCCTAAAGAGCTCACGTCTGCTGACTTAGCAACAGGTTTTACTCTGGGGGGTTTTGTGTCTCTGGGTGTGTGCATCTAAGGGAGGTCTGGTGGCCGAGTGGTAAGGAACTGAGCTACAATCCCGAAGGCACACAGTTTGAATCCACTAGCTGCTACACGAGAGAAAGATGGGCAGTCTCCTCCGGTGTGATTAACTGCCTCTGAAAATCTGCTGGACAGTCAGCTGTGGGTCGGGTCTGACTCAACAGCACACAACAACATCAACAACGTGCATTTAAGCCACACACACACACACACACACACACACACACACACACACACACTCACTTTTGGTCTTCACTGCCACTCTCTAAGTCCAAACAAACAAAAGTTGCTGCCGCTGAGTGGCTGTGACTCACACCAGCCCAGGTCATGTCAGAGTCGAATGTGCTCCACCGGGTTTCCAACAGCTAAGTTTTTGAAAGTCGGTCACCAGGCCTTTCTTTCAAGAGGCTGTTGAGTGAACTTGAACTTAACCACTTCACAGTAGTGCAGTATGTTATCCGTATGCACCAGCCAGCCACTCCCTTTATGAGTTCACAGTTTTGCTTTTCCCATTTCCACAGATGAGGTAACTGAGGCAACCAGAGGTCAGGAATGGCAGCTCTCTTTCCACAGAGGAGGAAGCTGAGGCCAAACAGAGGAGTGGCCCTCCCGCTGTCACTGAGCAAGGCAGGGCTGGGCTGAGGTCAGATGCAGGTTTGCGACCCTGAGTCCTGCTCTCTCTTATTGCCTCAGACTGACTCTCTGGGAAACTCACGCCTTTCCTCCCAGGATTCACTTCTTCCACTTATGAAGACAGAAGCCATCTTCTTCCTCCTGCAACTGCCCTGCAGATGCTTCTAGAAAGCACCCTTTCTCAGGGACACAGGGGGAAGTAGCCACCTACTATGGGGCAACTTGGCTTTTCCTGTCCAAGGAGCTGGGAGGACACCAGACTAGCTGGGCATGGAGCTCAGCCACGGGCAGTGCTCAGAGGCTGCCCGCCCTCATCACACATACCATACATGACCATATATCATACAGATCACCATACATCATCACACATGACCACACATATCATATATGGTCACATACGTAATACATGATCACACACATCTTAGGTGAGCACACATATCCACACATGATCATACTTAAAATGCATGGATGTATATATCATGTATGACCACACACACCATACATTATCATATATCATGTATCATGCATGACCAGGTATCATGCATGACCACACATAGCCTTACATGACCACACATCTACACTTGACCACACCTAACATATATGACCACACGCATCTCTACAGGACCACACATATTATGCATACTCATCTGTAACTATGCATATCTATGTGATCACGCATAACCATACATGACGATGACTGTCATACATGGCCATGTTTTTCCGCACATGGTTATGCATATTAATATATGAACATATATGTCATACACATTCATGCACATGCATATATATATGAGCACACATGCATTACCATGCATGTCCATACATGACCACACAGATAACACAAACCACACATATGCGCACATGGCCACATAGACACGACATGCATGACCACTCATGTTCATACGGGCTCCCTGTGTTCCTCCTCCCACACTTCCCGCTGTCAGCACCCACCTCTGCACCCGGCGCCCACTTCTCCATACATCTGGTCTGGACACTGACGGAGGGCTGCTGTGTTGCACTTCAGACCTCCGAATCCTTCCCGACAGGAGCACTGCCCTGTGAACTGCGGGAGGACAGGGTTGTGCGATCAGGGAGCTGCTCTTAGAAACTCCTCCTTGCCTGCTGCTGCGGACTGAGCCCCCAATCCCTGGTCAGCAGACAGAGGCCAGCCCCCAATGACCACAGAGCCGGTGCACCCTGCATACGTCCCAGCAGGGACAGGCGTGAATCAAAGAGGGTATCGTCAAAGCTGAGAGCCAGAATGAGGGGACATTTGATGATCTTCTCTGACTCTGAAAAAATCCCAGAAGTGCAGTGTAGTGGAGATAGGGGTGATGGTAGGAGGACCCCTTCCCTCCAGACACCCCCCCCCAACTGCCCTGCATGTAGCACCTGGTTGCACTGGGGGCTGAGGGAGTTGCGTGGGTCGCAGGCACACGGCTCGCAGCCCCGGCCGCTGGCCAGCTTCCAGTGGTAGGGTGCACACTGGTCACACTTGGGGCCCACCACATTGGGCAGACATAGGCAGCGTCCAGTTTCTTCATCACATGGCATGTCCCGCCGGCACCCCAGGATGTTACAGTCACAGCCTGCAGGAGGAAAAACTGCTGAGGGGGTGCCCCACAAAAACGAGGAGTCTTCCAACCTGGGGAAAGAGCTGGGTAGGGTCATTCCCTCCAGATAACATGGCTGGTTTGCAGGCCACTGAGCTTTCCCACCAGACCGAGGCTGCCTGCCTTCGTTAGCCCTCCCTGACTAGGTCCAACCTGGGCCCATGCTGCCACCTGCTGGAGATCAATGGCACAGCACCTGGCACTGGGTGAAAAGGAGAGAGGTTGAACCTCCAGGTAAACACTAGGCTCACCCTCCACACCACATAACCGTTTTAGATGCTTTCTCCTGTTGAGAGCGTGCCAAGCAAGACAAGAGATGTGCCTGGTGGTCCCCATGCACAGTGCCCCAAGCCACTTGACCAGTTTCACCCCTACTCACGGTGGCAGCCCTGCGGGTTGGTGTAGGTGAGTCCGGTGAAGCCTGGCTTGCACAGGTCACAGCGCTCTCCTTGAACGTGCTCCTTGCACACACACTGCCCGCTCACTGGGTCGCAGGGGGCCCCTGGCACTGCCCCATCCGGGTCACACTCACAGGCTGAGAGACAAAAGCAGCACCGAAGTAAGGAAAAGAAGAAACCCCAACACATTAATTGGTTAAGCGCTGGTTCTAGGAGTCAGAACACCGGAGTTCAACTTTTTACTCTACCGCATCCTAACAGTTTACCTTTACTTAACCCCCTGTGCCTCAGTTTCCTCATCTGAAGGAACAACAAGGATAAGGACAAGAATAGTCTTATACAATATTTATCCCTGTGGGGACTAAATTAGTTCACTCAGCATAATGCTCTCCAGTTCCTCCCAAGTTAGGTAATAATTTACAAAGTTATTGTTCCTGCATGCCATGCTGCATAGTATTCCATTGTGTGAATGTACCATAATTTCCTCAATCCATTCGTTTGTGGTTGGACATTTGGGCTGTTCTCATGGAATGAGTATAAGGATCCAGGAGGGGTGGGAGAGGCTGGAAGCAAAGGGATGTGGATGTGCAGGGGGTTGGGGGAATTAATCATTGGGTTGTACAATTTGATGGGGGGGGGTGAGAGAAATTGAAAGAATTTGTTCAAATTTGTATTTGAATTTTGTAAATAAACTAGTAGAAAAATAAAAAAAATAAGCATAAGAACAATACAGTCCTCATAGACTCCTTCTGAGGAACGAATGGACTAGTGCTCAGCACGTGTTAGGTACTATAGATACACTTTTGAGTGCCATCATTTATTTAGCAACCACTATGTGCTAAGAATGTCATTGTTGTTAGGGAGCGCTGGTGACCCAGTGGTAAGAAGCTGCACTGTAATCCCAGACACAAAAGCACCTGCTCCTCAAGAGAAAGACGAACAATCTCCTCCCATGCAATTAACTGCCCCTGAAAACTCGAGGGAGGGTCAGCTACGGGTTCTGAATCGATGGTACAGAACAACTGCATGTGCTAAGCACTGAGCTGAGTACTACTGCATTTAATTCTGTTGATAAAACCTAACTGATGATAACTCTAGTGGTAACCCTAAGGAGCCATGGTGGCGTATTAACTAAGTGTCGTAGTGCTTATCGGAAGTTTCAACTCACCAGTCACTCTGTGGGAGGGAGATGGGCAGGATCCTCCCATAAAGGTGCAAAGTCTCAGAGGCCTGGTGTGGGGTCACCCTGAGGGAGAATCCGCTCCGCAGCACTGGGATTGGATTACACTGATAACTCTGAAAGTTGGATTTTACTATCCCCATTGTACAAATGAAAAAACTAAGAATCAGACCTTAAAGAGCCCCATCTCGCATATTTTGGGGCATGTTGCCAGTCCTTGGAGAAGGACATCATGCTTGGAAGGGTGGAGGGTCAGCACTGGAGAGGAAGACCCTGGGTGAGATGGAGTGACACAGTGACTGGGGTCACCAGGGACCAGGGTAGGTGTGTCAGAGACAGTGAGACTGGCTCGGGATAGTGTAGGCTTCAGAGCTATAGCGTCACTATGAGTCATAGGCAACTCAATGGCACATAACAAGTGGTAGAAAAAGGGTTCAAAACCAGGCTTAGCTCACTCTTCCCACAGACAAATCATACCAACATGATGTGGTCCCATTACCCCCATTTTGAAACCTCTTTTATGCCTTTCAAGTCCTAAGACTTTTCCTTCATCCAAAAGGTTTCCTCTGATTATGAGGGTCCCCATTACATTGATTCAGTCCCATTGTCTTTCTCCCATATGAATTCATTAACTCTTGAGGACATGTCCAGTGACTCTTGAGTGTTCCATTACACTATAGTCATATGTTCACGTCAAACTTTTCTTTAGCAGTTTTTTGTCATGTTTTGGTTTTGTGGTGTTTTGTTCTGACTGGGGTAGAGAAGATATAATAATATCTTAGAAATAAAGATAATAATAAATATAAATAATAACAAAATTATTATTAACTAAAGATTTGAAATAGTAAATAAAAATAAATATTATTCTTAAATAACGTTAAAAAGTAATAAGGAAATAAAGATAATAAAACCAAAGAGTCTCAGTGTTGGAGAAAACAGAAAATAAGAAATAGACAATTGGAAAGATAAGCAGGAGGCTGCCGGGTGGACATGTGAGGAGGAAGAGAGGATGGAGGACTGCCTGGTGGTGTCAGTCACACTGCATACATAACGGTGTGGCATGTGCAGGGCAGAGGGAGCTGCCACCAGCACGTAGAGTCCTCTAAGGAAGAACATTAGGATGAGGCTACAGGACCAGCTGGCCCGCTGTGCAGGACTTGATCAGCTATATACACAGCGGGATTTTCCCTCGTGGTCTTAGGAAGCTCACCAAAGTTTGGCACTAGCATCGCTGTCAGATTCGTGTAGCCATCCTCCAGGCATCTGCAGAATGGAGGGTAGGCAGGATGGGAGGGACTGGTGGACAACAGATCACGGAACTGGCTGACAGGTAGCAAAGTTGCTCCTCACCCCCTTCCATCTTGCTCATGGAGAGGCCTAGTTATTGCCCCTGCCAGTTCCCGCTAGGAGACACTGATAGCGGCACTGATGATGCAGGGAGCTGCACTGATTACCCAAAGGTGGGACTTCAAATCCACCAACAGCTCCTCAGGAGAGAGGTGGGCAATCTCTTCGAGTGCAATTTACAGCCTGAAAGTGCACTGGAGGGTGTGCTGTGATCCATTTCTGAACTGACAGCAGTGAGAGAGTCCTTACCATGAAGGTCACCTGACGTCCTCTGGCTCCGCTCCAGTGGGAGCATCAGAAAAGGCCTGACTCTCTCTCTCATTTAAAAAACGCAAGTTCTTTCACTGCCCTGCCTGGCTCTCTTTACCCAAACCTACCCTGGAAACCCATCTGGTGTAGGAGAGGTGCTCGCTCGGGACATGCCATTTTCCTCCCTCTGCTTTTCTCCTCTTTCTGTTCGATATTACCAAATATCTGTGTACTCTTTGGTGGTGTAAACGGTTTTGTATTTTCTTTTTTTTTTTTTCTGGCACAGACTAATACAAGGGTCATGTATTGATGGACTGACCGAGTGGCAGTTCCGGGAGGCTAAATGATTTGTTTAGAAGAACACGGCTAGGTTGAAACAATTGCTCTCTGGTCCTGACCACAAGCCTTTGCGCTTCCTGATAGCCTTTGGGACCCAACAGTGCAGGCTGGGTCACCTGGTGACTGTGGTTCCCAGTGCAGGCAGGGGTGAGGGACAGCGGACACCCTGGGCCACCGCTCCTACTCACGGATACAGGTCTCCTGAATGGGAACGCCAGGTCGCCGGTTCCGGAAATAGTGCAGCTGACAGCGCTCACAGTTCTTGCCCTCAGTGTGATCCCGGCAATTGTCGCACACGCCACCATTTGTGCCCTGGCTGGCAGCAAACACGGCTGAGTCGAAGTGGCAGGTCTCTGAGTGCCCGTTGCAGTCACACCCTAAGAAGGAGAGGTCCAGGATCAGGCATATATTTGACCAGCACCACTGCCATTTGTAAAGCGCTCTCATGACAGCTCACCAGGGTTTCTGAGCTGCCCTGCAAGGTGTATACTCAGGGAAGGAAGTGGGGAAACTGAAGCCCTGGGAGGCAGGTGTAACTTATTAAAGTTAAACCAAAAAAAAAAAAAAAAAACCACCCCAAACCAGTTACTGTCAAGCTGACACTGACTCATAGCAACCCTACACGCACCAGGGTAGAACTGTGCTCTATGGAGTTTTAATTGGATGCTTGTTGGGAAAGTAGATAACCAGGTCTTTCTTCCATGGTGCCTGCTGGTGAGCTTGAACCTTCAGCCTTTCAGTGATCAGCCCAGTACAGTCAAGAATGTTAACCATCTGCACCATCCAGGAACTTCTACTTAAGGTTACAGGACCAGTAAGAGGGCAGAACAGAGGAGCACTCAGACCTGACTCCCAGCCTGGGGAGGAGCCTGACAGTCGCAGGCCCAGCTGAAGAGAAGGAGGAGGAAAGTGGAGATGCCTCCAGATCTTTTCCCTTCCCACCGAAGGAGAGCTCAAATAGCATGGATATGTCCCTGATGAGGTTATCAAAGACCAAAAGGCCTGGCATCTGCCCCAAGTCACCACAGGGGAGGAGGTGACCCTAGACTCGTACTTTGGCATTCGTGGGGATCCTGGTCATCTGCAGGTCTCCAGGGCCGGTTGTTGTAGAAGGGTGCACAGCGGTCACAATTGGGGCCAGCAGTGTTGTGCTGGCAGATGCAAGCATCATGAACCTAGGAAAAGGGGTCACTGGTCATCAGTGGCAATTAAAAAGGGGTGGTCCCAAGGATGGAGCAGTACCAACCCCCCTCTGACCCTCCTCTAGTCGTGTGTTCCTTGGATAGAAGGAGAAGTAATGCCTTTGGGCTGTAGTGCTGGAGAAGAGTATTGAATATACCATGGACTGCTAACAGAACAAACAAGTCCTGGAGAGGGTGAAGCCAGGCTGCTCCTTGGAGGCAGGATTCTGAAGCTTCATCTGACATATTTTGGACATGTTGCAAGGAGAGATCAGTCCTTGGAGAGAGAAGTCATGCTTGAGAGGGTGGAGGGACAGCGCAGGAGAGGAAGATCCATTATGAGATGGATTGATTCCCTGAGTGACTGGGGTAATGGGGGTAGGTATGTCAGAGACAAAAAGATTGGCCCAGGATAGAGCAGGGTTTAGGGCTGCTGTACATAGGGTCACTATGAGACACAAGCAACTTGATGGCACATAACAACAACTTGCTTGCTAGAGATTTACCATCGCTTCCCCTTCTGTCCTGTTGTTGTTAGGTGACTCTAATCAAGTATGACTCGTAATGACTCTATGAACAATAGATCTGAACCTTTCCTATTCTATACCATCCTCATCTTCCAAACTCACTGCTCACTCCATCAATCCACCTTGTTAAGGGCCTTCCTCTTCTTTATAAAGCACTATGTATTGGGATTTATAACCCATAGGTTATATTGGTTACCCATGGGGAGCTCTGGTTGCCTAGTGTTAAGAAACTGCACTGCAGTCCCAAAAGCATGCGGTTCGAATCCACCAGCTGCTCTGTGGGAGAAGGATGGGTAATCTCTTCCTGTGTGATTAACTGTCTCTGAAAACCCACTAGAGGGTCAGCTATGGGTTGGCTCTGATTCAATGGAACTCAACAATGATGGGTTACTCATAGCTAACCAATAGGTCAGTGATTTGAATCCACCAGCCATTCTACAGAAAAGAGTTAAAGCCGTGTTTTAGTAAAGATGTGTGCTAACTGCCTCCAAGGGTCTTCTATCTTTGTAACTATGAAAAATTTTCTTTCTGTGAGTTTCTTTTTTCTTTTAACTTTTTATAGTGTGGTTTCACACAGTATTTATCCTTCTGTGGTGGACTTCCTTTATCTATGTGTTGAGATGTTTTATGGATCCTGTGTTCTTTCTCCCACATGATGGTAAAGAATAATAAAGCGGTCTCTGGCTGGACTCTCAGGCCTCCAAGCCTCTAGGGTGTTCAGACATCTCTGATGGTAAACTGTGTGAGTCTAGAAGCTTGCGGGTCCCTTGGGATTTATATTCCAACAAGTGTACTTGTTTGGCTAATGAGACTATTATAATGAATCGTTACTAGACTCATTAAGGTATAAAAATAGAAGAGCCATTGTGTGCTAAGTGCCTTCTAATTAGGTCCAACACCCTCGGCCTGGCACTCAAGGACATGCACCAAATTTTGCCATTGTCCTCTCTACTCTGTAGTAAGAGTAAGAGCCCAGCTAAAGAGGACTTTGAGCTGTTCCCTGTATAAAGTCGACTTTTTCCTCATTTTGGCCTTTGCTAATGATTTCTCTTCTGCTTAAGATTCTCTTCTCTCCATGTTCATAAAAAAAAAATCCTGCCTGTTAAGCTACAGTTGAGAATGGTACCTCCTTCATCAAGTCTGCACCAGTCACCCTGATTCTACAGATTGAAATCCAGGCTTCTCTTCAGAATCCCTGCTGGAACTGTTGCAGAGCCCCAGCGCCAGTCCCACCAAACCAACGCACCACACTACTCTCGGGGAGGGATCAGCCTCAGGGTAATCACTTTTTTTTTTAAAGAAGAATTTTGTTGTTGTTTTTTAAAGAAGTGTTAACGCTTCAGAGTATACCTCCAGAGATTTTTAGAGTGGTGTTATACATATATATGTGTTTGTATGTATTGGATGTATACATGGAGAGGATGTGGAGAGATAATAACTCATGTACTATCAGTGGAAATGTGAAAAACCGTTCTGGAAGGCAATTTGGCGTTTTCTAGAAAAATTGAACATAGAACTCCTACATGACCTAGCTATTCCACTGCTAGTTATATACCCCAAGGAATATAGAACTGAGACCAAAGTGGACATTTGTACACTTACT